TATTCCTTAATAGCGGCCGCCCGCAACTTCGTCCTGACACTTTTCCGGGATAGAATTTAAACTATGTATCTTTCCAGATTACAAGTTGTCTGTGTGTAAAATTTTATCCAAATCCGTTCAATCGTTTTTGCGTGATTGAGCTACAAACATACAGGCTTACATAATTACACATTTATAATATTGGTAGGAAGAATGTACCTATATGATCGTTGACTGCAAGCCGTACCTACTTACTAAAAGACGTTCACTTTTAATGGTCACATGCTGTCTTATTCTAATATAATTTCATCGCAAAGAAAGACACAGCACAAACTTTAATCACACTTATCTCATACCAAGGATGCCTAATGAACAGAAGCAACGTCTAAATAAATAAATATTTTTCAACACACACCAATTAGTCTAGCCCCAAAGAAAATACTGTAGGCTTGTGTTATGGGATACTAGGGTAATAATATAATAATAATAATGTTTATTTCCAATAAATTACACGTTCTTACATGGTTAATAATAATATTCTTATAAGACTATTTACACTAAGGCTAATTTTACATTAAATATTAAATGACATTCTATCATAACGGATAGAATACATGAAAATTGCATATATAATAATAGTATATACACTCGAGTTGTCAACCATGTCGATAGTGTTCAATATTAATTATTCAAGCTGTAATCATGTCGCTCACACCTGAAGAATGCACCAGAATTCTTACAATGCTGGAAACCGGCCGAAGTCAGCGCGATATAGCCAGGACTGCCGGTGTGTCGCTGTCAACAGTACAAAGAGTTCTACGATGTTACAAGGAAACTGGCTCTAAGCTACGCATACCAGGAACAGGCAGAACCAGGTAAACCACAGCACGAGAAGATCGATACTTGGTGAACACTATGCTTCGAAATCGCTTTCCCTCAGGATCTGAAATTACAAATCAGTCCGACGTTTTGGAGGAAGTAACCCAAGCGCATGGACAGTAAGACGATGGCTTGCTGAAGCTAGCTTGAAACCACTTAGAACTGCAAACGGCCCTAAACTGGAGAGGGCATCGTTTTTCTAGACTAAGATATGGCCAGAACCATTTAAATTGGGCTATTGATGATTGGTCAAAAGTTATGTTCTCCGATCAATCAAAATTTATGCTTTACAAGCACGATGGAAGACAGACAGAGTATATAGAAGACCTGAAGAAAGATTCAAGCAAGCATGCATCGAAGAAAAAGTAGCCTACGGTGGCGGGTCTGCACTTGTGTGGGCCGGAATTTCTTCTGAGAGTCGCACAGAACTGGTGTTCATAGAACAAGGCTCTTTAACTAGCGAAAGATATGTGGAAGAAATCTTAAATGAACACGTTGATCCATTTATGGTCAACTTGGGTGAGGATGCTATTTTTATGAATGACAATGCCCGGGATTCGTGTACAGCATGCCAAACCGGGTGAACGCAGTAATGAAAGCACGAGGAGGCAATACGAAGTAGATTAAAATTCAAGAAAATCGTAATGTTGTTCAAAAGTTGCATGTTTCCTATTATTGTTTTAAGGCGAGATCAGCCAGTTTCTTGCTTTATGTATTTTTTTGTAAATAAAATGTGGTGACTCATAAGTTTTATAACTTTCATATATTTAATTGTCTATTAAACATAATTTATTTCTAGTTATAATTTTTATTTTTTAAGCATGTAACTGCTTGACTCCCGCCTGCTGCCTGGTCCGCGTGGATTTTTTTCTAGTTATATTTTCTTTAGATTTAAACATCAAACAGTAACATGCTTAAAAAATAAAAATTATAACTATAATTGCTATTTCTTCTTTCAAATGTTTAATACGTGTAAAAGTATTCATTTGACATTGTGGGTTACCTACAATGCGAAGAGATTGCGCTGCCTTGCAGCTTAAGAATGGCTAGAAGAATTTCGACGCGGCCATCAGGGCCGCGGTAGCATAATTGGTCAGTGCATTTACTCGGATAGCGAAGGGTGCGGGTTCGAGTCCCGTCTGCTGCCTAGTCCGCGTGGATTTTTTTCTAGTTATATTTTCTTTATAATTTATTTCATTAAGCTAGCATTCTTAGTTTGCTAGATTTTTAGGATTCTTTAAGTGCCCCGGATTCATTGCTCTCGAGTGTATAAATAGAAATACATATTAAACATCAATGACTGGAGTACAAATGCTCGTATTCATCATACAATCACCTGCCCCACCGGGATTCGAACCCGGACCTCTCGAGTAGGCACGGCACCACTTTGAAACCCGGCGTACAAACCACTGGACCACGGAAGTCGTCAGATATGGTCCTACGAGCCGGATAACTTAAAACGTAGTTTTGTGAGTAAGTCATCATTATAGTGATTATAGACACGCCATAAATATTTCACATCATAATTGAACCAGTAAATTCGACTACATACGAGTATCCATGAGTACCTATGTCCTAATTACATAATAGCAACGCGCCTGTATATATTTTCAGCTTGAAAGTTTAGAGACGTATTTTTTCCTCATATAAACGAAACTTAACAGACTAAAGCCCCATTAAAATAAATAAACAATAAATAAATATTTCCAACACTCACACCAATTAGCCTAGCCCCAAAGTAAGCACTATAAGGCTTGTGTTATGGGATACTAGGGTAACGGATAGAATACATATAACAGTACATATATATAGGTATATTTATATAGAAATACATATTAAACATCCATCATCATCATCAGCCTATTAATGTCCCCACTGCTGGGGCACAGGCCTTCCCTATGGATGGAATAGGGAGATTGGGCCATGACCCACCACGCGGGCCCAGTGCGGATTGGTGGGTGCTAACGACTGCAGATGCAACCGGGACCAACGGCTTAACGTGCCTCCCGAAGCACGGAGGAGCTCGAGATAGTAATTTTTGGTCACCCATCCAATGACCGACCACTGCGAAAGTTGCTTAAGTTCAACGATCGCAGCCAAACGCGCTAACCCCTTGCGCCATCGAGCTCCTCAACATCCATGACTGGAGTGCAAATGCTCATATTCATCACACAAACATCTGCCCCCACCGGGATTCGAACCCGGGACCTCTAGAGTTGGCGACACCATGAAACCCGGCATACACACCACTCGGCCACGAAGGTCGTCAATTAAAATAACATTACCTTTTTGTGGTGTTGTGTTTCTGCTGGTGATTAGGGTTCCAGGTAGGGTTACCATATCTCAGGATTTGTCCTGAGATTTCAGGATTTTTAGACTCTTCTCAGGATTGCGGCTGGATTTTGCAAATCTCATGAAATCTCAGGATTTTCTGAATTTCCAATAAAATACAGCTTACGTATTAAAGATCTCTTTAATAAAAAGTTAAACAAACTAAAAATAATCTTCTTTGGTAATAATTGCACAATTAAAATCAGTACTTTATTATCCAAGTTAATCTTAACTTAATCAGTTTTATCATACTTAATATGTGAAGATACATTTTTAAGTAAGCTTTTTCTTTAATTATGGATTCATAAATGCACCACATGTTAAGCTCTTCAAATTATATTGATTTAAAAGTATAAGCAACGATAATATTACGACTTTTTTAAATTATTAAGTACGTGTGAGAGAAAATTCTCAAACTAAAAAATGTCCGGATTTTTCAATGGATATCAAGCCTTTTCTCCGGACTTTTGATTTTATATCTATATCATCTGGTAACCCTAGTTCCAGGGCTCCATGGGGTAGAGCGGCACACTTTCTGCCGTATCACCTATCTTCGGGATTGGACTTCACTTACACTTACCATCAGGTGGAATGAAGTAATTTGTTGCGCCTCTTAAAAAAAACTGTATGAACTTAAATAGTATGCAGGCAAAGTTGTTTGTGGCATTGATTCATTATTAAAGGAAATTAAAAGTTATATCAACTTTGCCTAGTTAGATTTTGTAGGCGTTCACTTCTCGTACTATTTTTAAGATCCGGCACCATTGGGCGATTCGCCTAACGGAAATGCTTTGGATTACGCTAAAGCTTACGATTTCATTTTGTTATTTCTAGCCGCCTGAGGTTTTCAAATGCCTCTCGCACTTCTTTTTCTTTTGCATTGCTAATAACAATATTAAAAAAAATGAGCGTGAGGTATTTGAAAACCTTTGGCGGACAGAAATAACAAAATAAAATCGAAAGCGTTAGCGTTTTCCAAAGCATTTCCGTTAGGGGAATGGCCCCCAGACGTTTTATAAAGGAACTACTACTTAGTAAGCATCTACTGAATAAATTATACCTTTGTCTAGCCGCTATGATTTTAAGTATTTATATCACATAAATAAAAACTAATTCCAAATGAGTTTGATAATCGTACTTGAAATAATTATTCGTAGGTACTTGGTGACTTGATATACTTACTTTTTGCTGACTGTCCAACAAATGCAACCCTTCGTGAATGTGTCCAACTCGCACTAGGCCGGTTTTTGATTAGGTTAAGTTTCCTTTAATCGTTTGAGTAAGCCAGTCTCAATGGATTTAACTATATAGGCTTGTTTCACACGTAGGTATCACAACCACGCTAGAACCACAACACATTTAAAGGCGCTAATTTGTATTAAACCACGTGTGTGTTACCGACCATACCGCAGCCGGACACGTCGGAAACACAACATTGTGTCGTATCTTTATTGTGTAATGTACGCTACGCAACCACATCGCCACCACTAGCGACAATGCAACGACATCTAAATTTTGTAGGTACCCTAACGCAACCGCAAGAAACCACAACCGCATTCACAAGTACGTAATCACAGCTTGACCACCTTGGTGGTGGTATCACCACGGTGTGGTGTGGTGTGGTATGGTACGTGTGAAATAAGCCTTACCTTACATTACTAATGCTTGCATGATCATGAGTCATATTATCACAGAACACGTAATGTTCAAGACATTATAAGCACCTGCCATTTATGGTGTGTCTATCGTCTCTTCATATAACGGCAGTAATTTTTAAAGAACTGTATTCTCTAATGTTGAATAATTAAGACGCATTCACCCTCGGAGTAAATACAAAGCTGTGACGTGAAGAAAGGGTGTCGTATGGAATCTACTACAATAACGCTATCTTTAAAATATGTATTTCTATCATTGAATTACATTGATCCCGCGGTAATCTATTAAAACTACTATAAACATTGACAACCTTGACAGTTATCTGTACAATAAATAAATAAAATGTGTATGTAGCGATTAAGATTTCGCTAGTACGAAGTAGTACAATAATATTATTATTAATTAATTATAATGAATGTCGTGCTCGCCCCGCATTTTATTACGAACGGCATTTAGTCACGAAAGCCGCGAGTCGGCGTGCCCACTCCCGAACGCAGCGCAGTCTGTTCGGTGTCATTGCCCGCGCTGTCAAATTTGGAAAAAAAATGTTTGACGACGAAGAAAACCGGAAGAAAACTTTTTTGGGATTTGACTTTAGTACACAAAGGGTGAGTACAAGTAAATCATATTTAACTTTGATTTATTTGCATTGGATTTTATTATTAAAAGTCTGTATAAACAACAATGACTTCATAAACAAAATCTCAAATTGGCTTAGCTATAAAATAAACACTGAAGACTTTTTTATTCAGTAACTGTGAATTTTTATAAGCTAAGTATAAACCTTTATTTTTAACGAAGCTGAAAAAATTCACAGCTGTGAATCATTTAATTCAGATTTCTCAAGCATTTACTCAAAATTTTGTAGACTTTAAATTTTCTAAAATTAAAAAATGTCTATGATTCAATTTAAGCTCTAAATATGGAGGTACCATTTGGTAAAATCAACTTAAAGTTATTCATATCATTAATCTAGTTTACTTTAGAAACAATGTAATCATTTATACACTTCTCACACTCTTATTTTTGAAGGTCAAGAGAAGTTACCATTATAAACTTAACTGAAACAATATTTAAGATCTGAAATACCTATAAACTAATCCTGTTCTTGTGTATTAAATTCATATTTATTTAATGTTAGATTCTCTTGAAATAATAATAATAATAAATAATAATCATGTGAAATATTTTACCTTTGTTTCAGTTGAAGGCATTAGTAATCGGTGAAGACTATAAAGTACTCCATGAGGCTGAAGTAGAATATGATGTGGACCTTCCAGAATTCAGGTACATTCAGCAAATTTGAGCCAAGCGATAATCTGCTCTAGGCATCTACCAATTACAGTGTAAACTCCATGTAACGTCACTCTATTTAACGACAAACTCCCTAAAGCGTCAAAATCATTCGTCTTTGGTTGGTTTAGTTTGTTTTCCATACAATGATACACTCCATATAGCATTACACCCACTCTCAATAATGACAACAATAAAGTAATAAGTTGCCAAAATTAGTAAAATTAAATTTAAACTTTTTCATTCCTTAATATTTCTTCTTTCCATTTAACGACAACTCTCTATAACGCCATAAATAAAAATAAATGTACAGTCCCTTTAGTGTCATTATATAGAGTTTACACTGTAATTGAAAAATGTATGCTTTAGTTGAAGTTTGGTGTCTATTGTCCTTTTCCTTTACTTTTCGGATGCCAAAACTATGGAAATGTAAAACAGGCAGGTTGAGGCCCAGAACATCAATAAGAGACGGGCCACAACAGTGATAAAAATTCTTTCTCGCATATTGACAGATAATTGCAGGACTGGCAGTGCTAATCATAAGTGGCATGCGGTGCCAGATTTTAAAGTACCCATCTTAAATTTGTTAAGGGTCTCAACTCCTTCATTGTATACTTCATGTCATGTAATATTATCAGACTGCTTGTTTTTGCTTATTTTGCAGCTGAAGTTAATAACATTGAAGAACCATAACTATTTAATTATGCATTTTTTTTTAATATTTATTGTACTACCGAATGAGAACTCACTGAGACTCACTCTTGTTTTTACTTTTCATATTTTTACAAACAAATCAAATGTTGAACTAGACATGGCATTCTATACAAAAAGACATTAGAATATTATAAGTTATAATTTAATTATTTATCAAACAAAAATATATGTCCAAAGAACCCATGGTGGTGTACTACGCGGGGAATGTGGAGAGGTGACAGCCCCACCCTTGCTATGGGTGAAAGCCCTGGACATGGTGATGGATCGGCTGATTGTGGCAGGAGTAGACTTTTCAACTGTGGAGGCCCTATCAGGTGCTGCGCAGGTAACTATTTTCAACCACACTGTTTATCCGTACTCACTCTGAAATGATTTTGAACTGCAAGTCAAAGGGTACCTTAGGGATGTGGGATTATGTAAGATTATTTTGTCTCATCTGACATCAAAAATAACCATTAAGCTGTTTAATTTAATAATAAAATTATGTAGTAGACGGAATCATAATGTATGTTCAATAGTTTATTATATACACTATAGGCTAACATAGTCGCTCACCGACTAAAGCCTTTAATAAAGATTTTAAAAAATACACTTCCTAGCTAATTTGGTTTCTTAATCCAATTGAGTTATAATTTTTCTAATCCATTCTTCTTAGGTTACATAATTCATACTCATCAGATTATATGATTGATTATAGAACACCATTATACTAAATAATTGGTCCCCCAAAAAAATCATTGTGAAATCAAGAAGTGTAGCAACAGAATTCAGTCATAGCATAAAGCCAAATCTTCATATGAAAATAAATACCATTCCATCTAACAAATGTGATTAATTAAGTTTCATTATAAATGAATTCTGCTATGCATGATGAATTTGATAGCCTCCCACTTTAGGGCGACCACTGAAGTTCTATTAGGGGGCGTCCATAAATTACGTGAGATGTTTAAGGGGGGGAGGGGGTCGAATCAAATCTCATCTAATCTTACGTTGGAGAGAGGGGGGGTCTCGGTAAATATCACGCAATTTTTTTTCTGATTGAAACAAAACAAACTATTTTGGTCCATTTTATCCAGATTGTACATGCTCAAGATTTAATCTTAAGCGTAATCGTAATACGATTAAGATCATTCACTAATTCGTTCGAAAGAAATAATTTCATTCATTACTGTGCACAAGCGCCAACGGCTTAGAGTGGCTAGATCAGAACGAAGTTGAAGGAGCAGATGATTTTACTGAAAATCATATGGACATGTTGGTTCCAATAGTCTCTCTTGAGACCGCGCATAATTCTCCATGGACGGAATTAGAGTACATATTCTTTTTTAAATCAGAATAGTTACGATTTAAATATTCTGTTGTTAAATTTTTATTACACTTATAACTCTCAGCAATATTGATTACTAGTTTTAACTGGTAAATAAAAGCACGAAGCAAATTTATTTTTTCTTTTTACAATAACAATCGAAAGCGTTTTAAACGCGAAACCCACATTTTGAAAAATCTCACATGAGATTGGGGGTTGGGGGAGGGGGTTGAATAAAATCTCATGACATCTCAGTAGGGGGGGAGGGAGGGACAGAAAATTAAAAAACACATCACGTAATTTATGGACGCCCCCTTATCCACGTCAAATGGGTACTTTTTTGTAGGTAAGGTCCAATTATGATGGTCCAATGGGTACTAGACCAATCAAAGAATGCCTGAACGTATGAAGGACAGACTGACAGACAGTGAGAAGCCGCTTAATCACGTTGATCTCTTTAAAAATTGTTTGTTGATTTGTGGCCAATTATTTATTACTTAGGTGCGTGACGAAATGAGATGAAGAAAATACCGCTTAAAAAAAATGTGCGTACAGACCACACATCTTCTTTTCTTAAATAAACTAACATTAAGTGGTGTATATCCCAAACACACACAGACAGACAGACACACAAATTATAATGTGTAAGTAATAAAGAGGGCGCAGGGACAAAGCTTCATGCAAGTGCTCGTATGTGAGGAGCTCGATGGCGCAAGTGGTAGCCCTTTTAGCTTGCGATCGTGGCAGTTAAGCAACTTTCGCAATGGTCGGTCGATAGATGGGTGACCAAAAAATTATAATCTCAAGCTTCTCCCTTCGGAAGATACGTGAAGATGGTCCTGGTTGCATCTGCAGTCGTTTGCACCCACCCACCCGCACTGGACTCGCGTGGAGGGTTAAGGCCCAATCTCCTTATTACATCTATAGGGAAGGCCTGTGTCTCTGCAGTGTGATATGCTGATTGGCTGGGCGTTTTATTATGTGTGAGTTTTTTTACATCAACAATGTTCGCATTTGGCTTTTGGATTTGCAATATGCTCGCTGACGCCACCTAGTGTTCGATCTGCGAACCTGTCCAGATGGCAGATATGTGGGTACTGCGAATATTGTTATGCGCGGGTACGCAAACTTAATAACGGTCGTTGGCTCGTCATTTCCAACGGCCGCTCTCTGCTGTGTCGGATTCGGTGCAGATAGGTCGTACGCATATATAGTGAAACGCTGCGCGTAATTATCTCGGAAATCGCGTAGAAGATTTCAACCGCACCCAGAGGAAGAAAGAAAGAGCTGCATCGGCTGTGCCCACGCTTGCAAGCCCGATAAGGAGGCAGAGAGACATCCAGGTTAGTAGTTGGTGACATTGCGCCTATTCAATTTCCACTTGTTTCATTGTTGATGTTTCTTTGTGTCTAAGCAGCTCGTACATAATAATTCGCCCGCCGCACATTATATATTGTCAAAGCCGCATCCAGTGGATAGCTATTTACACGCCATCCCAATGCGTGAGAAACGTTCCTTTTGGCGGTGACAGTTCTTTACTCATGTGTTAGCAACTTAACCAACTACCTACACAAGAAAAAGCGTCTGAAATTGATTCTTAAACCAACTAGAATACGGTTGAATTCCTCTAGCAACACGGGTCCGTATGGTGGGCCCGCGACGCGGAATCGCGACTAGGCAAGTTGGCCAGCGATCAGTTCCTTCACACCCAGCTGGCGACAGCTTTTGTAGCCAACTCACCAGTGTGGTTGGACTCCAGCACTACTGAGGATTGTAAGGCTTTGGAGGAAGCTGTCGGAGGTCCGGAGGTAAGAAAACTTGATGTTTTTTTCTCACTTGTAAGATTATTAAGCCCTTGATTTTAAGCATCCAAAAGTGTAAAGATGCTTTAGCAATAAGGAGTTGCATGTAAGGTCTTTCATACAAACTCCCTAAAGAACTATATATTTATCCTTAAAGAAGTCTCTTGGTTGTATATCATGAAGACTTCCTAAAACACTGTATATACCTAATCCATACTATAAACCTCTGGCGAGAACATTACAAAGGCTAAACATCAAAAATATATATCTTGACTGTGCTACAGTCTTATAAAATTAAACCTTCTCTACTTTTTTGTTGTACAAAGTTTTGTTTGACATTTGACATTATTTGTTCTTAGTTGTTTTTAATTTCTTGGAATGATATGACATTATTAACTGTTTTATTGATTAGACATGATTATTTATTTTATTACAACATTAATTAACTAATAATTTTACAATAGGCAATTTGACTTTATTTGTATGTATACTTGACTATTTTTTCTTTTTTCGCTTTGTCTGTTTATCTTAATTTTATATAATTGGCATAAATACCTGCAATGAATGTTAATGTTTTTATGTATGACTTGCCGGCGTTTTGGATTTTGCTGTAAGAAGGCATGTGTAACTGAAATAAATAAATAAATAAAGTGCATCAAATCACCTCACCACGCACACCTGTGAGTGGAGGCCACCACGTACACAAAAATGAGTTGCTTCTGTCATCTTTACTTTGTCAGCATAAATCCAATTAATCCCCAACAAAAAAGCAACACGACCAGAAGTTAGTGTCTTAACACTGTGATCTTCTATAAGGTGGATGCCTCATCTCAGGTATCTGGAGAAGTAACCTCCAATTCCATTCCAAATCTCCAATTCCCATGCTCCGATTACAATTCTTCAATTCCAGTATTTCCAGTTTTCCAATTAGGGCCAACCAGTCCAAAACCAGGCCAAAAGACTGCATATTTACTCGCTTGGATCCGTTTCAACCGACATTTTCCTACAGGAACTGGCGAAAATCACAGGATTCAGAGCGTATGAACGATTCACAGGCAGCCGATAAAGAAAATGTTCTGTACTCGTGAGCAAGTATACCAGTAGGGGGCCAATCGCCTAACGGAAATTCTTTGGAAAACGCTAACGCTTACGATTTCATTTTGTTATTTCTAGCCACCTGAGGTCTTCAAATGCCTCGCGCTCTTTTTGTTTCTTTTGCATTGGTAATAACAATATTAAAAAAATGAGCGTGAGGTATTTGAAAACCTTCGGCGGTCAGAAATAACATAATAGAATCGAAAGCATTAGCGTTTTCCAAAGCATTTCCGTTAGGCGAATGGCCCCCAGGTCTATTCGCATTTTTTTGACATTTACTGTGAGTAACTGACATAAAAACTGTATATCCATCGCTGCTTTTCAGTACAAGTTTCTTTTTGGCGTTATAATAAAGCAATAGTAGATCAGTCAATAGCTCGGTGATCATCACTTCTACCTGACAAAACCTTTTAGCAATTAGGCCACTGCCAGGATATCGCTGGTGTCTTCCTTCGCCTGTTCATTGTTTTAGTTATAAATTTTGAGTTAAACTTCCTTAAAGATAATGCATATTTACACACCTAGATTTCAGCCACCATTTTCTCGCAGGAGCTGGCGAAAATCACAGGGTCCAGAGCGTACGAACGATTCACAGGCAGCCAGATAAGGAAATTGTTCCGTACTCGCGAACGGGTATACCAGGCTACTGCGAGGATATCGCTGGTATCTTCCTTTGCCTGCTCGTTGTTCTTGGGACGTATAGCGCCCATAGACTTGGCTGATGCATCAGGGATGAACTTGTTGGATATCCGGTCCAAGAAATGGGACGAGCAAGCATTGAAGGTGAGTTGGTTCTATAGGCATTTCGGTTATTTTCATTCAAGAAATATCAGCTTATTCTTTTATTATTTATTTGTTTTTAAAGTGGTTATAAATCATCATCAAAATCATCATCAGCCTACTAATGTCCCCACTGCTGGCGCACAGGCCTTCCCTATGGATGGAATAGGGAGTTTGGGCCATGACCCACCAAGCGGGCCCAGTGCGGATTGGTTGGGTGTTAACGACTGCAGATGCAGGCCGGGACCAACGGCTTAACGTGCCTTCCGAAGCACGGAGGAGCTCGAGATAGTATTTTTTTGTCACCCATACAATGACCGACTACTGCGAAAGTTGCTTAACTTCAACGATTGCAGTCGAAAGCGCTAACCACTTGCGCCATTGAGCTCCTATAAAACAAGCATTATTTTATTTAATAATAATAATATTTATTCAGTAATACACAAAATGATTACAAAGGTTTCCACAAAACCAATTAAATGGTTTGTCTGTGGAATTAGAATTAGAGTGTTTTATTAATTGATTAGTGTGCATGTATAATTTTTTCAGTGTATTTGTGTTTTCTTTACTAAGGACTACAAGTCCTGTCTGTCCGATCCTGTTGTTGTGGTATGGTAATTTATTGTGGCTGCTTATTGGGAATATATTTGTCATAAATGCGACTTTAAAAGACAGGATTTTTAGTAGTTTATTCACAACCCAAGACAAAAGATTAAATTAAGTTTTGTGACAAACGGTACACGTTTTTTAGTGGATTACTAGAGAACTGATAATGATTATCTTTATCCTTAACTAAAAGGGATTAGGCATTTATTCGCAATAATGCCGCGAGATTATCCGTTCCGCTATTCCGAGGAATTCGTATAGCTGTAATAAGTTATTTATTTATATATTTTGCACACATAAATGTAGATACAGGAGTAACTTAATTAAAGTTACATGTACAAGAGCACAGCTTAATTCAATATAAAATTTCTTCTAGAAGGCCTAAGAGTGGAATGAAAAGTAAGATTTAAATTGCCAATATATATTATTTATACTTATTCCTTATGTTTTCACGCACACCAATCATTTAGTAAAATACCTTTTTAACGGGTATACACCAATGAGTCGGAAATATCAAGAATTAAGAATAATATTATTACAAAGAAAATTTTACTAGAAAAAATCCACTCGGTCCAGATTTCAGACGGGAAGCGAACCTGCGTCTTTTGCTATCCGGGCGGATACAAGGAAGATACAGAAGCACAAGCAATATTTTTGACAGCTCCGTAACGTGAGAACAAACTAGCTTTTTGCGTGCAAAATTTGACGATTATAATATTTACGGAGCTGCCAAAACCTCGTGCTTGGGCTGGTTCGAACGAGTTCTGAAACCTGAAGTGTTTTTGAAGTGAAACTTCTTTACGCACGCTTAACTTGGGGGTAAGCTGGCGAATGCGTTACGCGTTACGAAAAGTGTGTTCGGGCAAGGCGAACGGTAGTTGAGTGGGGGATATAAGCAAAAGAAAGCACATTTTCTTTCTCTCTTTCTCTTATAGCTAGTAAATGAAATAAGTAAGAAGATTCACTTTAGTCGTGTGGTTATATTTTTTTTTTGTAAGTTTCTCCCGTTTTAGCGAAGGCAAAGGGAACAATGCCCATACATTTTTACATTAGAATGTCGGTGCGATGCATTCTAATGTTTCTTGGAGTGTTTGGCACGAAATGTATTCAGTTGGCTTTTTCGATAAGCTTCTGTGAGGTAGTCAACACTATAATAAAGTTCTCACGTCCACTTGACCGGAATAGCGGATATTTTAAGGATTCCGCTAATTCTTCAGTTGCGGAGATGGTTGTAACAAAAAATCACACCAATTTTATTTCAAAATATTCATTATGAACGAATTTAAGAATAATTAGAATTAGACGCCAACTGCACTCGATAAAATCCGGCCAAAAACTCCCGTGTGGTCATGAGCACACTCTTTTTTTTTTATAACAGTTTTAATTCTTTAGGCATGCGGTGACGATAGTCTAGAAGGCAAACTAGGCGAGCCAGTGCCTTCCGCGACGGATCTAGGCGCCGTGTCGCCATACTTCGTCGATCGCTACGGGTTCCACAGCAAGTGTCGGGTCGTCACCTTCACTGGCGACAACTGTTCCGCACTGGCAGGTGATTGATATTCTAATGATAATTAAATGTAATGCAATTATACTTTATACGAATCGACTTATTGAAAGGACTTTTGAATCGTCCAAGAAGTTTTGCAATAAAAGCTGTAGTGATAGCATATTAATTTTATACTCGGAATGTAGCACGTATTGAGATCTACTGAATGTTATACAGTTGCATTTGGATCTATTAGGGTCGAGTTTATTTGCAAGACAAAAGTCCTGCAGCCTAACAAGATCCTGTTGCAGAAATGGACAATCGTAAAATGAACTAATTGTCTTTGAAAATTTTCATGTCATCGGTTTTTACCGTTTTTACTTTTGTAAATTTGTGTGTTCAAAGCACATCGATAACATTAACAAATGTTATAAATAGAAGTGGTCCAAGAATCGGTCCCTGTGGTACACCATACACATACAACAACAGAGGGAATGGCCGAGATAATCCACATTTTGGCATTGATCGGCAAAATACGAACTAACCTAACCATCGGATAAGATCATCGCGAATACCTGCTAACTGTAGCTTTCTGAGCAATATCACATGATCAATTAGATTATCAGAGGCTTTGCTATAATCGGTATAGATTACATCTACTTGCAACTACTGCAGAAAAATGCGATCTCGTGAGTTTTGAAATAAAACTAATTATGCGGCCGGCCGCGGGTCTTAGCCAAAGTTTTTTTTTATTATAGGAATTTCTTTAGTAGTATAGAAACAGTCAATAAGACTTTTCAAGTATCACGCAGAAAACTACCGAACAGATATTTGTTATCTTAAGTGTAGCCAAATATTGAAAAAGTCATATAAAAACCATTAAATTGTGATAAAGATAAAACAGATTACGCGAGGTCTTGTAGTGGCATGTTAAACAAGTGTTATCGCCTGTCTTCTGTTACTTTATACAGAGATAGATAACAAAAAAATATTTATCTTGTACTTGTACCAGTTGTTATTTACAAAGATAATGTTTCAAGTTTGGTTTGTTGAGATTGGTCTGGTGAACTTTTGAGTTGTTATCTGATAAATCTTATGTAATTTATTTATTTGATTGACCCAAATAAATAAGTAGAAGTGTCACATCATCACACCAGGTTAACATTTTTTTAGCAAAAAAATAGCCTTGTATTTAAGTTTGCAAAAATCGATTACGACCTTTTATGATATCCTGACGTGCTGTTGTCTGTACTAATCAAATAAGTTAGATATGTAAGAATCTAATTCCAGCTACCTGAGGACAGATGAATATTTGTCTAGAAATAAAATCCATTATAGATGTAATAACCATAGACACAGCTCGGTTCCCTAACCAACTTCAATAAGACTGGACAAATAAATGTGAGAGAAGCGAAGCGATAGGGCGACCCATAGTTCATTTAGGTAGAGGTTATTTTTAGTCTCATTCTAAGGGTTGTTAATTTCTTGCTTGTTTCGCTTACTCCAAGTCTCAATATCTATGTTTATTATGTAGGTAACACGTTTAGTATATTGAAATATAGTAATTCAAAGAAAAGTTTACTAGAAAAAAAATCCACGCAGTAAAATTCATTCGACATTGTGGGTTACCTACAATGCGGAGAGATGGTGCTGCCTTGCAGCTGAAGAAACACTAGAGAGAATTCGTCGCGTTCGATGGTCAGTGCATTCGCCCGGATAGCGAAGGGTGCGGATTAGATTCCGCGTGGATTTTTTCTAGTAAACTTTTCTTTAGATTTAAACATCTAGCAATTAAATTGACGACCTCCGTGGCCTAGTGGTTTATACGCCGGGTTTCAAGGTGTGGCCATCGCGAGAGGTCCCGGGTTCGAATCCCGGTGGGGGCAGATGTTTGTGTGATGAATGCGAGCATTTGTACTCCAGTCATGGATGTTTAATATGTATTTCTATATAAATATACTTATATACGTATCAGTTTATGTATTTTATCCGTTACCCTAGTATCTCATAACACAAGCCTACAGAGCTTACTTTGGGGCTAGGCTAATAGGTGGGTGTCGTAAAAAAAAACAAAAAAATGAAATGTTTAAAAAATAAAACTGTAACTATATAGTAATTTATCCATCTAGGTTTGCGTCTTCGCTCTGGCTGGGTGGGCCTCAGTTTAGGCACCAGTGACACTCTGCTAGTGGGGCTGCCGGAGCCTGCCGCCCCCACCGCGGGGCACGTGCTAGTGGGCCCCACTGCCCACGCCCCGTACATGGCCTTACTGTGCTTCTCCAATGGGTCTCTGACTAGACAGAACCATAGGGATAGACTGGCTGGCCACAGTTGGGACGCTTTCAATGAGCTGCTGAGAGCCACTGTCAGAGGAAACATGGGGTATATGGGTGAGTTCAGTCAATATACTTATTTTGACAGGTTAAGGTAATAATTTCTGTGTTAATAAAAATTGTTTGCAACTTTCATCAATTTAATTTGACTTGGCCGTTTTCAGAAAGACAGGTTGTAATTATGAATCAAAAAATAAATAAAAGTGACTTAATAATAATTAAATTAACTTGTTCGTACAGTTTTAATAATGCTTTCATGTTTCTAAACGTTATGATTATTGAAATTTGTCAATGGTAGCGTGAGGCTTAGCAATTTTCAAATTTCATATTTGGGGAAGTCAATACCTACCTAATTACCATACAGTGACATATTGGTGTCGATTCTGGCACGATTCTGTAATCTTAAAACTAAATTTAACATCAGTCCCTCCTTTTCATTCTGTATAGAGAGTGACAGAGAAACAGTGTTGCCAAACTTAAGTTTAGGCTTAGAGAATCATGTCAGAATCGACACCATTACCGGTACTTTTTTAATCATTAGTCATTTGAGAAAATTTATAACTTTTTCGATTCTTTGAACAAATTCAAATGCAAAATGATCAGAACACCTTATTTATTTTTTTCTTTTTAACTTAGAACACACTACAGACTGAACCATTTACATTGTATCGTTAATAAATAAATAATATTATTATATTATAATTGTTTCTTAGGTTTTCACGCACACCACTCATTAAATTAATATTATTATATTATTATTATTAATTTCTTTTACTATCACGGCTGTACGACTCTAGAATGACTTGCCTCCTAATATACGTAAAGCTCCTAACAAACTTGTATTTTAGAGATTGGTTTGTGAGCATTATCCTAATATAATTAATCTGCGTTCTCATATTTGACTGGCATAGTTATGTGTATATTTATATATATATTGTAGATATATTGATTGTAGATATAAAAAAAAATGTATCTGTAAATGTGTAATATCTGTAATATGAGGGTTAATAAAATATATTCTATTCTATATAACATATATATTTATATGTATGTATTGTATATATATTTTAATATTTGTGTATTCTATTGATATATATATATACATATATATATATATATCACCTTGTTTATTTAGCATATGTCCTTATTGCACCCCTGTATTTTTCTTTCTCACGCTCTTACTGGTCGACTGGTAGAGAATGTCTTATGGCATTATGTCCGCCATTTGCTGTTTTTTTTTCAAATAAAGTATAAATAAATAAATAAAATTATCGTTACTAGGTATATACTACGATACCCCGGAGATACTGCCTCGCGCTCCGGCCGGGCGTTGGTTGCGCGACGCCCATAACCGATCCATAGACAAAATGGCTCCACAGTTCGAGGCTCGTGCCTTGCTCGAGACACAGGCACTCGCTAGAAGAGCACATGCTGCGGATATTGGACTCACAATAGGTAGGCATAACATAGGATTATTAACAAACTAGTGGCCCGCCCTCGCTTCGCTTAGGTGTAAAGCTGTAGTGTAGACTATAGTTTTTGTTGTCAGGCTTGTATTCAGTGCATTCCCCTGGAGTGCGGAGGGTGTGGGTTTGAGTCCCGTCTGCTGCCTGATCCGCGTGGAATTTATCCTACTGAAATTTTCTTTAGAATGGATTTATTATTCAGCTCGCCATGTCGAATTTACCCGACCGGCGAGTTCGCGAATTTGTATTTTAAAGGCAACTATATTAAATACCCTAGATACAACATCACGAACAAAATCGTGGCCGAAACCTGTCCAAAAGGTACATTGGACGATCCACGGAGCTCCGTAAGATGATCGAGTAATCAAAAACAATATAAGGCATTATTTAAACATTGAAAGTCACCTTTAATGCATGCTGTATAAGGTCTTAATTAAAACACATGCGTCAAAGAGTTACGACATTTCAAAATGCAAGCTCGTAAAATTTTACGACTTATTGCTATATGCGCGCAATTCTAAATGCGCTGTTAGCAATATAGCAGGTACGAACCGCGAGGAAAAGAGACAGCTATATTACTGACCATGCATTTCAAATTTGAAAACCATGCATTTGAATTTGAATTTCCGACCATGCATTTGATTATCACAAATATTTTCTATTAAATCAGTTTATAGTAAGTATTAGAACAAAATTTGCTTCAAATGCGTTAAATTAATAAACATTTATTAGATACTTGTCAAAAAAAAGGGACTTTTTACGTCCTATAATCATCTGGACTTTTCAACTGTGAACCAAGTGCTTGAGTGTTGTCAAGCACTTCTTGATAGGGACACATTATGAGCGCACGCGGTGTATCTATGGTATTTAATATCGTTGTTTGAAGGTATTATAGTGCGATTCAAATAAGAATAGAAAAGCCAATGACCTCCATCTGTCATATGTCGCTTGAAAAGTACGGTTTGCAAAAAAACTTAGAAACCTTTTTTAGCACTCTGCTAGTTCTAGAATAAAAACCAAACATTTGTTAACAAACAATAACATATATTGATAATTAATATTGGTTGATATTTTATTCATTTATTGAGCTTTGGCTATGAATGGTTGATAACCTAAATCGTCAACCAAATGTCACTAAGTTGCGTTCAGAAACTCGATTTAAAACTTTCGTTTGCATAAAGGATGTATGTATATATGTGACCTAGTAATAGTGCATGATTATTCATAACTACTCCGGCGGTAATGCAGAGATGAGCGGAATTGAAGAGCTAGATTCTGATTAATGTATTTTCTTACAGTGCTAATAAAAAAATATATTAAAAATCGGTTGGTTTTTATTTCTCAATCTTAGTAAATAAGTTATATTAAATAATTTTTTTTTTGCTCACACTACCTATTTGGTTTGAATTGACAGCTATGACGTCACAATATGGCGCCTAGTCGGTCCTATTCTTAGTTGAATCGCATTATAAAAGCGTCAATCGTTGCAGATGCGTCGTCCCGCGTGGTGGCAACTGGCGGAGCTTCCGTTAACAAGGAACTGCTGCAAATATTCGCGGATGTGTTCAACGCACCGGTCTACGTGCAAGTACGGAAATTGACTCTTTATTTCACAGATCATATTGTGGTGATAAGCCTCCTGCCTATATTTCTAGCTTTTTGCTCGCCGACTCGTGAAGTCCCGGATTCGAATGCCGGTGGGGGCAGATATTTGTGTGATTAATACGAACATTTGTACTCCGGTCATGGATGTTTAATATTTATTTCTATATAAATATACTTATATATCTACAATATATGTATTCTATCCTTTACCCTAGTATCCTATAACACAAACATGACAATGCTTACTTTGGGGCTAGGCTAATTGGTGTGAGTGTTGGAAATATTAATAGTCTGTCTGTATGAGTAGTCTTTATTTTTAAAATGAGATAATATTTTTGTAGTGAAACTTATCGGTGTTCTTAAAATTTTAAGCATTTAGTTACATTTTATTGTCATTACGAATACCAGACTTATCAACAAGCATCGGTGATTTAGTGGTAGAAAGCTCGCCTGCCATTCGTGCGGCCCGCGTTCAATTGCAGCCGAGTTTTTATAGAAACTGACGATGCTTTACGATTACAGAGGTGTCAAATTTCGCGCTGGCGCCCTCCGAATATTTTTGAAACATGACAAGCAATGCCTGCTACGCAAATTATTTACGTTAACACAATCTGTATCAGCCCATCTCCTTCGTAACATAACCATACAAATTTCTTCAAACCAGTTATTGATGTGTAACATCTTTCCTCTCGCTTTCGTGCAATTTGTGGGAGTGATTACGTGAAGTGGGACGGAAGTGTGTAACAGGAAGTTTGCGAAGCGCGCGCTATTTGATTTGATTTTAGAACATAATGTTCAAATGGCTTATTTCTTTTGTAGTAGGTTTTATTTCTTTTTTTACTTTTGTTTCAAATGTTACACATCATACGAGACTACTGTAAGGCTCGCTCGGTTTTTTTAATAATACTTTTGCTTCCTCAGGAGGATCACGCGAACGCGGCGCTATTGGGAGCAGCCATTCGCGCCGCAGACGTATGGAGTGAAGAAGCTGACGTACAATTATCTGGTGAGTTGCCATGGAAACAGATATAACATGAAATACGACCTGCGCTAGTGGTACCACGCAAAGTGCGATCAAGTGGGCGGGGCGAAAAACTGCGATCACCACGCCACGATCATGGGATCACTTGGAATTTCCGTTCAACATTATCTTACCCAATAAATGGATAGCCGAATTCGTTTGCAGATTATTTGATTTTTCAAAGTATTTTGTTTTGTTTGTGTACGTGTCGCGTTAGTGCCTATTGAAGTTTAGCCGTGTGGGGTTCTCCCACAATCTTATTTATACATATTATATAAGTATTTAGAAATATATCAAATATTATATAATATGTATTTACAATTTATAACTACAAATAAATATAAAACATTAAATATTAAAACCAAATATATTTACATTTATACAAAATAACATTTATTATTTACATTTAATATATATCAATATTTATTAATTACATTCATATACTGTCATCACAAGCACATACATTTATTCACAAACAATTACACTATATCGTGCCGTGCATCAGTTGATCTACGAACGTCGTATGGTGAATGGACACGCGCACTCACTTCGCCGCCTATTGTTCGGCAAACCGGCCGGCTCACGCGCATAGGTCACGTTGCACGACAGTCGGAACCTATACTCTGTACCGTACGCACGATCAATTGCTCCGCGCTTGCTAACTCCTAACCGTGTTATTATTGTTTTGTTTACGTTTGCTTTGACTGTGCTTTTCCTTTCTTCCTCTGTGCTTTCTTCAGTGATAAACACTGACTGTGCTCTGTACTCCTTCTATTCTGTGCTTGTGCAAATAAACTGTTTACTGTCGAGTGCTAGACTTATTGTTTACACCGCCTCCCGACTGCACCGCAGATAAGTACAAAGCGAACTTTTATCTATCTTCACCCAACAACGCTTTAAGCCGTAGTTTGGAACCATGTTTTAACGGCCTTTATTGGAGAGTTATTTTCCGTAGGAGGTAAATAGAACTAAACTGGACACAATTGGGATTATACTGAACTAAAGTAGACAAGATAGATATAGTAAATAAAGACTGGAGCGTTTTAGCCCTAAATTAAAAACTTTTGAGAAGTAGACTCAAACATTTATATATCTTTTTGTCTTTTTTTCTGTCCCAGAAAGTATTACAGTATAATTAATACTTTCTGGGATAAAATTTAAACTGCATAAAGCACATGCATAATTTAAAAAAATGTGTGCACGGACCACACATCTGCAGTGAAACTTCTTTTTTTTGTTAAGCATTTAACTGCTAGATGTTTAAATCTAAAGAAAAGTTTTTACTAGATAAAAAATCCACGCGGATCAGGCAGCGGACGGGACTCGAACCCGCACCGCGGCCTTTTCAGGGCTGTGGCATAATTGGTCAGTGCATTCGCCCGGATTGCGAAGGGTGCTGGTTCGAGTCCCGTCCGCTGCCTGGTCCGCGTGGTTTTTTTTTCTAGTGAAACTTCTTTTCTTCAATAACCTAACATTAGGCGGTGCATAAGGCATAGGGGAATCACTGGAGCAGCGCACGCATCACTCATTTATATTGTCGCGTATGACGCTCGTTTTGTTTCATTCAGCCTTCGCCGAGTTACCCTCCAACTTTCATGCTCGTCGGGAAGAGCTGCACACGCACACACACACACACACACACACATATATTTAGTCGTGTGACTCTCGTGACGCATTTCTTCTTTTCCAAAGGATTTTTCCATTTACACCCTGTCCAAAAAAGGAAGTGTCACTTCGAAATAGTACATTACGATACGCGTGATCTAAGTTGCCTATTACTGCACGGCGTGAAGTTAGCGCCCGAGCGGAACGGAGCGAGCTAAACGCCGTGCAGTAATAGACAACTTAGGCCACAAGTATCGTATACTATTTTATAGCAAGTGTGACATAAACCCGCCCCGGACGCGGGCAAGAGGGATGCGATTAGTGTTTTGAAAGTAAAATTCATGTATTGCAATCACAAAGAATTGCAATACAGACTGCAAGTCAAACTCTGAAAAGAAAGAATTCCGGTTCAGATTTACTATTTTGAAAGTATATTTCAAAAGGAAAAAATCAAATATCATTACAACAAAATAGAATTTCAATGTATCCATGAACGTTTATTCCTTGATTGGCATAGTAAAGTTAAGTTACGCGTATCGTAATGTACTAATTCTACATGAGTGAAGTTGCTCAATTCATTTACACACCGTGCAGAAATAGGCAACTTAGGTCACGGAAAAGCGTGCGTAAAGTGCGGGTTTAGGTCACACTGTGCTATAAATACTTTTATAATGGAAATCGGAAACCAAGAAAGTACTTCAGCCACCCAAAGAAGTCGATTATGAACTGAGGCCTAAACTCTGTAATCATATCGTCATCGTCAAATTTTAATAAAATTTATTACCCAGAGAATCATTTTTATAATTTGTAACGAGCAGCTCGATGGCGCGGGTGGTTAGCGCGTTCGGCGATCGTTGAAGTTAAGCAACTTTCGCAGTTTCCGGTCATTGGATGGGTAACCAAAAATCTTCTATCTCGAGTTCTTTCGTGCTTTGGAAGGCACGTTAAGCCGTTGGTCCCGTCTGCATCTGCAGTCGTTAGCACCCGCCAATCCGCTGGTGGGCCCGCGTGGTGGGTCATGGCCCGATCTCCCTATTCCATCCATAGGGAAGGCATGTGCCCCAGCAGGGACATTAATAGGCTGATGATGAATTTGTAACACTTAAGAGGGGAGGCGGGCTGATTTTTCGATACAAACGTTCTCGACTGATTCCTCCTTGATTATCACTACAGATATAACTTTCATACATAAAATATAATTTTACTCATTCTGCTTCCTTTTTAGTATAACTTATGTTTTAAGGTGTTCGATAGCTTAGTGTCTTCTATATATATGGAGTTCTCAATAAAGATCGGATAATCAGATTATAAAATATTATTCATAGTAAAATACAGATCTTATTGAAATTATGTGCATATGTACGTTGTCTTTTTTGAATTCGAATTGGAAGAGGTCTCCCTCTATATAAATCAAAATGAGTGAATGTAGTAACGAATGGGTACGAAATGAATGTATGGACGGACAATGATGATGGACTGAATGTAGATTCTCTCGCCGAAAGATAGATGGCGTTAACAAAGGCAACCAGAAGCCCTCAAAAATGCCAAAAATTAACAAATTTTTAACCACCACCTAGAACGTCTAGTATAAGCATTTACAAAAAAAGCAAATCATATAGGCCTAGTATAACTACTTATTATTCTATGGGTAAAATTTCTTAGACATATATCTAATTGTCGAGGAGGACATCGTCGAGAGCCAAACCTCGAATTAAGCAATTTTTTGCGTTATTTTCAGCGTTATCTTCTGTTGTCCCTTTCACACGATATTTGCCAGTGCGCGACAGCAATAGTTTTTTCAAATACCAATCTCTTAAATGTTTCTCAGCTCGCGTCCGCTATTTGTATTTTATTATCATAGAAACTCACGATGCAGTACGAATATCGATCTGTCAAAGTACTCAATATTACAATAAAAACTGCTATCCGAATTGTATAAAAATCTATAATAAGTTACCACGCCTGATAACGGAGCTTAGTTTGCCTATATTTAAAAGGAAGCTTAAAATGTGGCTAATAACGAAATGTTTTTACTCAGTTAGAGAATATTTAGAAACGAAAATTGACTTAGAATAGAATAAGTAAAATGGCATAAGTACCTTTAAATTTTAGAATTAAATGAAGTTTGACATTCACATGCCCTGTCGTTGGCAAAATGGACGCACTAAATGATAATCACCACCAAAATGTATCTACTCTGTTATGTGTGAATAAATAAATTTCATTTCAAAGGTCGAGCTTGGCAGGCCCTACCATACATTTTTTATATCTAGCTAGTTTTCTTTCAACCTAGATTATGTTAAATCGAAAATCGTATTTATTTTCAAAGGATCAGAGCCAAAGATGAGTCCAGTGGCGACCCCTTACCCCGACCACGAGAAGATCTACGGCCCGATGCTGGAACGGTACTGGACCATCGTACAGGATATCCCCAAACTCGATTCCGAAACCAAACTATAAATATTACACCCCGGCAAACTCCTTGAGCAACGACCATAGACAAGGAAGACTGCGAATAGCAATAGGGTATCACAAATATTTTTGAAAAGTGTCTCAATTAAATTCTAAAGAGCTTAATATGCTACTAAAAAAATATTTTACTCAATTATTGTCAAATAACTTCGAATTGAATAATTATTTTTAACAGATTTCGATTCTGACATGATTCTCTAAACTTAAAAGTAAATTTAACATCAGTCTCTCCTTTTCATTCTGTATATAAAATGGCAAGGATACACTGTTGTCAAATTTAAGTTTAGGTTTAGATAATCATACCAGATTAGACACCATTAAATGCATTTAAATTTACTATTTTCAAATCGCTGCGCTGTTTAACAACAAACGCTCGACGTGGTGGCCGCCATATTGTTCTGCGATCTTGACGTCATTACTACTGTAAATACATGCGTTACCTAGGTTACAAAAATATAAAAGTACTGAGTTGACAGCTGACACTTCGTAATAATGTGGTGGCTACTACGTCTACTATTTCATCGTGTTTTAAAACAGATAAAAAATGTATTTTAAAATGCATTTTGTTATTTTGTGAACTGAAACTAACATTTACCGACTCCTTTTTGCCTTAGCTACCTCAATAATATATTTGAATCAATACCTACAGGGTACTTCCCGTGAACTTAGAATCTTGAAATTTGGCACGAAGTAACGTCTTGTTGTACAGATAAAGGAAAAATGCGAAAACCGTAAATTTTTAGTTACATCATATAATAATAAATATTTTTGCAAATTTTAAAGTTACTACCTCTTTTCTCATGAACGCGTAGAGCCATTAAATTGAGTTTGTACGGAACCCTCGGTGCGCAAGTCCGACTCGCACTTGGCCGGTTTTTTTTCTTAACTAGAGTGTAAACCTATTTTACATACAAAAAATTCTACTACGCAAGTTTATTTGTCTATGGTTTTACACAAGCAGTTTGCCGCTACCTATACTTGGTGTTACCAGTTCACACGGGGATTAAAAGCTGATTATATAGAGATTATATTATAGGGTTGAATTTGATATTGACAGCGTCTTTATTGCATCGAAATAAGAGCTAATTCATGTATTATGTATATTCCTCTGAATTGATATATTATTATCAAGTAACTTCAATTTCTTTTCGTGTTGGGAATTGTGATTACGAGTGAATATTGTAACGAAGCTTTACTACTTAATTTTCTTGAAATTGCCATAAAGCGAGCAAAATTATATTGTTCAAAAATTGTAGACATTAAGATGGTAATTGCGATTCGATATCAAACGAAAAGTAAGTGTATTACTAGATATGACTAGAATCAGACACATGAGTACCCATAATAGGAAACGAGACAGAAATTTTGCTGTCAATTGACAGGAATCTGTATTATCCCAGTGTGAACGCCAGATTTATTCACGCTTGTGCCTTAAAAATATTTACACATATTTTATTAGTTAATTATTAGAACTATTGGCGTTTAAATGACATTGGAAGCCAGAGGCTTCTTAACCAATTCATAGCAGGTAGTATAGCTGCCCTAGGCAAATGATTAGCTTTTAGGCGCTAGATTTTTTTACACAGGTACTTATATAAATAAATATAACAGGCAATTATTATAAACGGCCAAATAAACTTAATGTGCTTTGAAATAAAAGTGATCATGCAAAGTGGTTATTTATGATATTAGTGCGGTATTTATGATATTGTTATTACAAACGAGTAGACGAATGTCACGAGTCACGAGTTTGTAAATATCAATCTGCACGAATATCATGCAACGTTTTTGAACACATACTTACCTTATTTAAGTAATCAAACAAACTTTTTCTAATAAGAATATAGCGAGCATTTCCAAATGGCGCCACGAGCGGGTGGTGAAATTTAAAACTACATTTCTCGTGTCTTTCTTTTTAGTATTAAAGTGAGATGAAGGTATAGATTAAAATCGCTTCCAATGAGGTTTGAATGAAATTAAGAAAAAACGGTAAAGGATACGCACGGCGTCATGTAAAGCAGCGTGGCGGTAAAACGTTTTACCGCATGTTCCGTTGTATGGCCTGTAAATTTGAACTTTCTTACAATTTATAGAATCTTCGTAAATACATTTTTTGAGAAAATGTGTTGAAAATGTATTTTAATACTTAAAAGACCTTCTTACCGCCAGTTTCTATAATCAAATTCCAGAAGACGGTAGGCCTACTGAAATTTTGTTGATTATTTTTATAATTGACTATAATAACAGCCGTTGCTAAGCAACGGAACCAGATTATACATACCTTTTACTGAAGGTTGATTATTGAAACTGGCCTTTAATCGTTGTTAACTTTTGATAAGTACCTCATACATTCCTTTAACAAAGCTTTATGTGCCTTGAGATTTATTACAATTTATTTAATAGTAATTTTCATTACAATCTGATTTTTTTTATTTAGATACATAAGAGAGATGTTTGATATATTTTATGTTTTTATTTATACAGAGTTGTAAGTTATTGCAATACAAGACTATAGTGGTGCTTCGTTTTAATAAACAATGTGCAATATTGTTTACAGACATTCCTAATATTTTAATTTTTTATATAAAACTATTAATACCATGTGCTAATTGCGTTTTTTGTTATATATTTACACTTTTTTTGAAATAAAATGTTAACTCAATAATTTCGTCTTTTTTTGGAAATCGACCTGAATAGTACCTAAGGGTGCGGCCAGAGTGCATTCAGATTCAGATTCTGAAAACAAGCGCGAGAAATAAACAGTGTAGTCGAAGGGTACGGCCAGAGTGCACTATTGATTCAGATTCAGACTCAGAAAACAAAGCGCGAGAAAAAGCAGGCAACCTGCTTAGACTACACTGTTTATTTCTCGCGCTTGTTTTCAGAATCTGTATCTGAATCTGAGTGCACTCTGGCCGCACCCTAACACCAGTTCAAGTAGACAGATAATGTAAACAAAAAACTTGTAATCTTTATGGTGGTCTCGAGCAAAAATGTGAATATATTTGACGTAGGCGAACTGTAAGTAAAAAATAAACAATTTTTTTTGTATGTAACGTCTTATTCCCGTCAATAGACGTTCAAGAAATATGTTATTAATATTAAAAAAAAAAGGTTTGGTGATAGAGAATTTATTTAAAACTCATTATACTTAATGGTAATAGTCATGCGTAGATGGATGAATATTGGATTCATATTGCTCAATCTTCGTGGGAAAATAATATTATCGAGCTTCACACTGCTTATAAACGCATGGAGATGGGAATTTATTGTATTATTTCTTGCGGCCACCACGCTCCTTGACTTGTAGATGAATGACAGCGCCTGGAGGCACGTTGTAATACGCCAACGTGTTTGTATCTTTGAAGAACAAACCCTGGAAACAAGAGAAGTATAATTAAATTTAGGAGTCAAGTTTATCTCAAACGCTGGATTGGAGGTGCAAGGAATACATGGTCGGCTAGTGACTGCACACGGTAAAGGCTTTCAGTGCATAGCGTAATGGGCTTTATGTCAATTGTTTAACATATAATGTAAATACGAGCAAGAATAAACGGATGTGCGTCTTCCGCGGAATCTTCGCGCGTTCTCGGGAATTCCCGAACTTACGAAATCGGATCTAGATTAAACAGCTGAACACACACATTCACAATTCGCGCACTTTCTCGCGCAACGAGGCGAAGTGATAGTTACCGTTTTACCGTGTATGAATCCGCCGCTAGCGGCGATTGTGTAGCATGAGGGCTTCGAAATGTCAAATGTCATTGCTTTATCTTTCGAAAACTTAATGTTCTTCCTTTTTTTCAAAATTTGACGGAACACTACGGCATGGCCGATACGGTTGCACTAGGGTTCTATTGTATTAAATATGATTTAAAACTAAACTTTGTTTTGACGCCCGTATTTACAAACTTTAACAGCCACACTCAGAGCCTCATTCAACAGTGGCGCCATCTGGTGAGACAAAAAATGGTAGCCGCCATTCACGTTTTCGTTCCATTCCATTCTGCGGCGGTATAAACTGTACCCCTAGCTCGAACCAATATCGAATTCGTATCGTTTGCGAGTCCGAAATGTCTTTGTCAAATGTGTAATTTTTAGTTCTCGTTACGTACTTTGTGCCGCTGCTGTTCAAGTTTCCATACAAAATTTGACATTGACATTTCGGTTTGCAAACTATTCGAATTCGATAATGGTTCGTGCTAGGGGTACTGATTCAATGACAATGGTTCATATTCACCTCGTAGTGCACCTTCTGTTTGGCCGTGAGCATATTGGTGGCTCGTTACAACATACTCTTAAATTTAGTTTCCCATATCTACTTCCACGTAATTAAAACTAACGTACTTTCTTACGCGGTAGTTTTATATCTATACAAAATTTTATGAAATCCCTTCAGTGTTATAAGGGTCTAGTACCAGGCGCGAAGAGGTAACAGACAGACGTACACAAACTTTACCTATACCTATTATCAAGTAACTACATCTATCGACAATGTCACTGAATAATAATAATATTTCCATTTGTAATGGAAAGCGACTTCATGAATTACCTCACATTGAAGTCATTTTTCAATTTGACGACTCTGTATATAATACAGGGAGAAAAAAACAGCCCTTGCTGAATTTCTTGGCGGTTCTTCTCAGTACAAGGTCTCCCGCCATAGTTTTGAGAACCGATGGCGTAGCTTTTCGACATTCACAAGTGCTTGTAACATCCTAGACTGACTAAAATATATTGATTTTAATATTTCGCCTAATAGTTACCTCGTAGTGCAGCTTCTGTTTGGCCGTGGGCATATTGGTGGCCCGTTGTAGCATACTCTTGAGCTCGGCGACGGGCGCGCCTAGAGCGATGCTCATTGGCACTATGCGACCGTCCAGGCGCCACTCGGAACGATCGGGGAGCGACGGCAGCGCCACCTACCAACATTCAAATATATCTTTAAATGGTAGGAACAGACTTTATTGATGTGTAACATCTTTCCTCTCGCTTTCGTGCAATTTGTGGGAGTGATTACGTTAAGTGGGACGGAAGTGTGTAACAGGAAGTATGGGAAGCGCGCGCTATTTAATTTGATTTTAGAACATAATGTTCAAATGGCTGATTCCTTTTGTAGTAGGTTTTATTTCTTTTTTATTAATATAAGGTGAGGTTTCAAATGTTACACATCATACGCGACTACTGTAAGGCTCGCTCGTTTTATTTTGATTTTGAAATTTATTTTCATTTTACTCGATTTCATTATGTTGACAAATGCTTGATTGAACATTAAAAATAACGCACTATAATGAATAGATAAATATTTCCAACACACACACTAATTAGCCTAGCCCCAAAGTAAGCACTATAAGGCTTGTGTTATGGGATACTAGGGTAACGGATAGAATACATATATTGTACATATATAAGTATATTTATATAGAAATACATATTAAACATACATGACTGGAATACAAATGCACGTATTCATCACACAAACATCTGCCCCCACCGGGATTCGAACCCGGGACCTCTCAAGTCGGCGACAGCCATGAAACCCGGCGTACAAACCACTCGGACACGGAGGTCGTCGAACGCGGTGCTAATAATGCTAGACTAACTTAAATAAACTTGTTACAAAAAAATACAATAAAAAGATAACTTAAGAGACAAATAATAAGTTGGTTCCTGACTACAAACGGCGTTTACAGCCTGAACAAATTAAAGAATATATAGAAGCATAACCCCAGAATTTCTCGCCAACCAACTAGTCTTCGGTTTTAAGGCAGCTTCTGTCCTGGTCCGTCTAGCCGCGGAGGCTTCATCGCCATCTAAGAGCAATAAGAAGCTGGTGCCTTCGCCCGATAATAGATGGCGCTAACCTGAAAGGTTGCTAAACTCACCTGTAACGGCACCACCCCAGGATGCCTCGCCAGCCAACTAGTCTCCGGTTCTAGGGCGTCTTCTGTCCTTGTCCGTTTAGCCGCGGGAGCGTCGTCGTCGTCCACGGGCGGGGGCCCAGGGGTGGGGAATCCGAAAGAAGGAGGCACTCCCCCCACTACGCCGCCCACTCCTACGGGAGTGGGGATGAGAGGCGGACGGGGCGCCATCGGCGGGAGGACCTAAAAGAAAATGCATACAATAAATTTTATATCAAAACATATTTACTCGCAACAGTCATGGATACAAATAGAAGGTTACACTTTTACTTAAAAATATATATTAATAGATGGACCGATCACATGTTGATATTGTGAGTAGTAAATAAAGTTTTGTTTTATATAAATTTTAATAACTTAAAATGTAGAAACTTTATTATGATGTACCATACTTTGGCTGATTCAATTCTTAACTATGGCTTAGCTGCCTATAGAAGAACTTTTCGATCGTAATTGGATAAAATATACGGCGGGGGTGTATGAGGTGACATCAACGTGAACTCACCATGAGCGGCGGCAGCGGCTGCAGCAGCACCGCGGCGGGCGCGGGGTAATGTGTGACGTGACATCAACGTCAACTCACCATGAGCGGCGGGCGCGGGGTAATGTGTGACGTGACATCAACGTCAACTCACCATGAGCGGCGGCAGCGGCTGCAGCAGCACCGCGGCGGGCGCGGGGTAATGTGTGACGTGACATCAACGTCAACTCACCATGAGCGGCGGGCGCGGGGTAATGTGTGACGTGACATCAACGTCAACTCACCATGAGCGGCGGCAGCGGCTGCAGCAGCACCGCGGCGGGCGCGGGGTAATGTGTGACGTGACATCAACGTCAACTCACCATGAGCGGCGGGCGCGGGGTAATGTGTGACGTGACATCAACGTCAACTCACCATGAGCGGCGGCAGCGGCTGCAGCAGCACCGCGGCGGGCGCGGGGTAATGTGTGACGTGACATCAACGTCAACTCACCATGAGCGGCGGGCGCGGGGTAATGTGTGACGTGACATCAACGTCAACTCACCATGAGCGGCGGCAGCGGCTGCAGCAGCACCGCGGCGGGCACGGGCGGGGGCGGCGCGGGGGCTGCAGGCGGGGGCGCGGGTGCTCGCGGGGGCGGCGCGGGGGGAGCCCTAGGCGGGGGTAAGCGGCCCCCGGCTACCGGCTTGGGGCCGATCTTCTCTTTCTCTTCGTCGGGCAGGAGGCCTTTGACCTAAATGTGAGTAATAAAAGACAAGGGTAAACAACTCATTGACACGTCCAAATACTATGCATCACCATCATCACACTCAATCAGCAAAATATGGAGATGCATAAATATCTGCAGGTAAGAAATATGCAAAAAAAAGCAGGAAATACAGCGAGAGATTAAACAATCACATAAATGAACTGGCAAAAGACCTACTAAATACAAGTAACAATGTGAAAGACTTAAAAGGATGGCAGATCCACAAGTGAATTTAGGTTTTATTTGCTCTCAATGGTGACATTCAATGGAATGTCGCTTCAAATGTGGTAATTACGGAGCAGATCTGATTATGGATAAGGAGCCGATTGCAGATTACAATTATTAAAGAAAGCTCTGCCTCGGATGGGAATCGAACCCGCACATCAGGCGAGCTTTTTGCGATGCTTCTTGGAAAGGTCTGAATTTTTTAGAACAATACAACATGCTACAGAAGAATGAAAAAAAAATATGGGTGCGTGTACTTAAGTACGCGCGTGAGAAGTTATACTTCTTTTTGGAATTATTAAAAAATAGTTTTTAATTGCATGCAGATAATTAATTACAATAAGATAATAAAAGGATTGGAAAAGGATAGTCAACGCAGTCAATAAAGTTCAGTTTTAATTTGAAAAATTTAATAAATAATCAAAATATTCAATTTAAATCACTACTGAATAAAATTTATTAGCACATATAAATTTCGCATTTATATAACATTATAACACGTGTTAAGAATATAGAAACTAGAAACATGTGGATAAATATTATAAATATGAAAACAGTGATCAGAGGCGACGAGCGTCCCAACATGTGCGACTAAGAGATCCTATTACTATTTTGTTGGAAGCTTTTTTTCGAGACTTACGAGTAATGTGCGGTTTAGCGGCCGACTTCATGGTGTTACTTTTCTGTTACAGTGTTGCGCGCGCATCTTAAAATTTCACTCTCATCATTTTTTCATAACGCGCCCGCGGCTAACTTCATTATATTACTTTTGTGTTACAGTGATGCGCGCGCATCTTAAAATTTTACTCTCATAATTTTTTCATAACGCGGCTAAAGAAGTCACTCACCTTATGTATCTGTTGTATCTGATCTTCAAGAGTGATATGCGCGCGCGCAGCCCTAGTGGCGGCCTCCACGCTGGACGTGTGTCCGTCCCACGTGACGCGATCGTCGCGTCTCTTCTCTTCTTCCCCAATCTTCTTACCTATAGCCGTCTCCTCGTCGCCAACGCCGAAGATGTCCGTACGGCGTTCAGCGAGCTACAATTATAAAAATAAGTGTTTATTTTTTCAGAAAAATATATACTAAAATAAATAAAACTTGTGGAAACAATGGGTCCTTGGGGTTCTGATGCAAAATTATTTCTTACTGATATGATTGACACAAAAAAAAATACATAAAAATTTGCAATAATTACTAGTGCATTAGTGTTACCTGTTTGAGCGATGCTTCTATAGCAGCCCCAGGGGCCAGCGCCTCGTCACGATCAGTACGCTCGGCAGCGGCGCGGTCGCGCTGTTCCAGCCAGCGCGGGTCCAGCAGACCGATGCGCACGTGGTCCGCCACCTTGTTGGCGGGTATCCTCTCCCCAGTAATAGGAGACACTAGCCACTCCTCTCCCGCCGCTTGCTGAGGACGAGTACGCTTCGGGTCGTATTTTTTAACGACGACCCGGTCCGCCCGCGGCGGCAACGGCGCCTCTTCGCTGGGCGGCGGCGGCGGCGGCGGCATAGGCTCATCTTCATCGGAGGAACTCTCCTCCTCCATATCTTGAACTCTGTTATCGTCCGGCCGCTGTTGTTGCTGCGTCCTGTCCTCCATTTCGTCCAAGTCCTCGTCGCTATCCGACTCGGATTCAGACTCCAGCTGCATCTCCGTGTCGTCATCCTCAGCGACGTGAGCGATGTCCTCTCCTCGCTCCTGGGCGAGCACTCGCGCCCCCACCTCTAACGGAGTCGTCGGTGGCGGGAACTCCCCAGGCTCTCCTGCCGGGTAGTCCACCGTTTCTACGACGACAAAGTCGTGCCAGTCTATAGACGCGTAAGCCAAACGCTCCTTCTCAATACGAGCTTCGTCGGCGGCTTTGCGGCGCGCCTGATGCGAGTGCCACGCGGCGCGACTGCGAGCCTGCTCCAATACGCCGTTGCGAATCTCCGAAGCCAACTTGGCAACTAATTCTTTAGGGGGCAGCAGCACTTTGGTATATTGTTCCAAGAGACGCGTGAAATACTGAAACAGGGAATGCTGCGGTCGTAAAAAGTCGAACTGATGGTTTCTCTCCTCTTTCTTCATTAGATCAGTTAGGAACTGCCTCCCGTTTCTGGCGACGAATTGCGCAGTGAGTTTGACGATGTCGAGCTCTAGGGCGGAAATCGAGGGTGGGTCGGCGATGAATTCGAAATCTGGAGGAGGGTCGCGCGGTGGCGGGGGTTCGGCGGGGGCGGCTGCCTTCAACAGCTCCTGTTGTCGAGCGGCGGTGGCGGGGGCTAGACCGCCGCGAGTTATCCCTGGAGGCGCGGGCGCGGGTGCGGATGGATCCGGACCTTATTCAATATAATATTCAAATTACTCTTACCATTTAAAGTTAATTTTTAACTATTCATTTTACATGCTAAACAGACAGCAAAGAAAAATACCGAGAATGCAACACAGTTTCCATTGTAGATAATAAAAGTCCTTCACACTACTGAAATTCAGCAACTATTGTACCTATGCAATGGATGTTGCTTAAAGTTAAGCATTAATGATCAGCATGAAGAATCCACAGATTGAAATGTAGTTTCATTTATAATCAACTGTTTATAAAATATAAGGATTATGATGAATTGCCAAATATGTAGTTCATTAGGCAAAGCTAGTATTTATACTAATATGATTATTGGTATCAAACAATGGAATAGTTTAGAAAAAGTCTATGTCAAAAGGCATAAGAATCATATTCAGGAACAGTATTTTAAAGAATATAATATTTTTAAAATAAATTTGTATATATAATCCGTAAAAGACTATAGACTCTGCCAGGCAAGGTTGATAGCTTGAAGTTCTTCATTTAAATTAAGTAAATATTCATAAAATTATTAACTACTGAAACATACCTTTCCCTTCTCTGATCTCCTTGACTTTGTGCTGATAGTAGGCATGATATGGATCTCCAGAGTTTAAGAAGTTGAATTTGGGATTGCCAAGTTCATTTTGTCTGATGCGAGCTTCAAACTCGGGACCATTACGTGCCACAAAGCTTGCAGTCTTGTCAACAATATCTATTGGTGTAGGTTAAGGAAACTCTTGTCTAAGAAAAAAAAACAATTAAGACCTTAATAATAAATTCTGTGTGTTTATTGTTATTAAAAAAACTAAGCTGATTAATAAACAAAGGATACTTCGTCTTCACATTTTAGATCTCTAGGTTGGAACAAATAACAAAACCATGGTGCACTTCTTTAATTTTTTTTTAATATGGTACTGTGATACTGATTACAGACAAACACAGGCAAGAAAAAAATATACAGATGGCATAAGAAACATAATGAAAGAAAAAACAAAATTGTTTTATATTTCTTAAATGAATTGTTTTTTATTATAAATTGCATACTACATCAACAAACATGAGTAGGTATATAATACTGAATTTGAGTTCTAATCAATTTTAAAAATAAAACTTAGGGAAAGAAGAAACCCATACAGATAATATAATTTTTTCTATACTTTACACAATGAAAAAATTACTATTATTGCAATTACTTATTTCTGTGTATATTCTTGTATTTCCAGGAACCAATTACCTTTCATACTTTATTGCTAACTAGATAGGAAAAGTAATAAAGAAACACATTCAAACTAGAGAAAACAAGCTTTATAATTAATGTCGAAATGATAAAGTATAAAATAAAAAAGAGGGTCCATATTAAGACATATAAACATCAAATAAATTATAAAATAAATTTATTATTTCAAGTGACATGGTTACTTTCTATAATTTCGAGAGAACGAGATTGCACTAACTTTTATCACACTTTAGGTTTATTCATGATTCTAATTGCACCCATAAGCTAACAAATCTGAATTACTGTCATAACAACTTACACTATTCTTTCCAAAGAGCACATTATTTAATGCATTATATAAAGTACAATATTATTTGTATGTTTTTATGTGGTTATTAAACTGTCCGTATATTGTGTTGTCAAAAAGTTACATACCTGTTTTTACTTTTATAGGTTATGTTTTTATTGTTAAGTTTGCAAATAACTATCTTTTTTGTGCTAGACTCTCACCTTAAATTAAATAATATTTTCATATTTAAAAGGATACTCCTGACTTCTGGCGGTGGATAAATTATTCCAATGACTGGTGGAGGCGGTGCTGGGGGTTCCTCTACCTGGTCTTCCAGGGCCTGCCCTGGAGGGCCCATCACGTCGATGGACGGCATACTATGTGTTATTTCGCTCACAACACTATCATTAATCAGACAAGTGAAATAAATTGAAATAGAAAAAAACAACGAAGACGCATAATCTTCAATATATATGGGAAAATGTCAAAGCGACTTTTTTTTAACATACTCTCTTTTCAAGGATGGCTAAGAAGTCAATGCCCATACAGCCTAGTCCTAAGTTTATTAAATCTTTTTTTTACATTTGAATGTTGGTGTGATGCATTCTAATGTTTCTTGGAGTATTTGACACTAAAAATATATCAAATTAGCTTTTTTGATAAGCTTCTGTGAGGTAGTCAACACTTTATTCGTTTTCACGTCCACTTGATAGAAATAGCATATATTTTAGAGATTCCACTAATTCTTCAGTTGCGCAGACGGTTGTAACACAAAATCACACCAATTTTATTTCACAATATCCACTATGAATGAATTTAAGAATAATTAAAATAAGACAACAGCCGCATTCGATGAAATCGCGCCAAAAAAACTGTCAAAGTGACATTACGGCAGTGTTGCCAGACGAAGGCATGAAAAACACGTATTTTCAAACAAAAAATGCGGTACTCCTTGTTTTATAGACAACATGTCTATACTCACACTTATGATTTGCTCCCTCCCGGAAAATTAAATTTATTCTTCCGTAAATCAAAACAAAGGTTAACCTTTGAACCGCTTAATGCATATCTACACACGCCTTCGTGAGCATAGCCCGTTTGTGAAAGTGCAGATCTGCTCGCTCGTCACCCGCATTAATTTTTTTGCCATTTTGGGAATAAATACAATGCAATACAGTTCAAAGTCTTTTGAATTTTATACCCAGATGAATAAACCATTCACTCATTGTGGTGAAGTCGTTCTTATGACCAAACAACCGTTAGTACGACGATTTTAAAATCAAACACCGGGGAGCTCGCAACGAAATAGTATTTTTTTGAATAGTTTATTTATATGAACAAATACTTGAATCGTCCCGCAGACGGGGGTGTTTTAGGCGGAGGCTTTTCAGCAGCTGACAGGTTTTTAGAGCTCGGAAGATTCGCTGATACCCTTTACAGGCGTATGCGTGTTGTCACCCCTGCGTGTGCTCTTCCTGCTGTTCGGGCATATCCAGTCCTTGCTGACACGCGACTTTTCCGGGATGGCGAGGCAGACCTTATGATATTTTATTGGGCAAGTACAGCAAACAACAGCATTGCCCGGCGCCAAAAAACTTCCACAAGCTCCACAGTTTACCATATTTCAGTCCAAAAATTTAAATTATAATTATAAAGTCTAAATAAAAGGGAAGCTAATAAAAATAAGAACAGGGGTCTAAAACAAATATATTGAAAAAGGGAAAAAAATAATAAAAAATACGAGTGCGGGATTTGAACCGACGACCACGGTAATGCGTCGAACGTTGTTCCCGTGGCTAAAATTTAACACACTGCGCCGGCGCCGTTTAGATCGACACTGGTATTGCCAAAATTTTGTTCTTTTGGTATCATATGCACACTTGTTAGGTTATTTTCGTTACGAATTTCTTGATTCGGTCGCCGCGCTCAAAACCCGCGATAAAAGCTATGCAATATCTCAATATTGTTATATTTCATTGTTTAATTTTTTATATACAAAATATAATAAAGTAATAACATAAGAAAAAAAATCAAACACATTCTATTATACTTTACATTCTATGACCATATTTCATATGCCAAATCGGCCCGTGTACGGCGGGATCCGCGTGTGTAATTGTTTCGCTGGGTAAGTGTTAAGACGATATCTGCATGATTTCGCCTTTACCTTCCTCAAGTAGGGAAGAAAAAAAATTACATGTCATAGCTAGGGGTGTCTACTTTGAAAAAACATCGATGTATTTATTGATTCGATACATCTTGCGATGTATGATATATATACATCGATGTCAATCGATGTATCGGATGAAAACATCGATGTATTTCAAACATCGAGTACTTTTTCTTAAATTTAAAAAATGTTTGCTGTCTGTCAATAGAATATTAGAAATACTAGCAAACCAGTGAACCAAATGTTCACCAAAAAAAAATGTATTTCATTAATTGAGAACTTCGGAGATTTTGTGTGGTTTCGTTTGAAATAGAAATCACGTGATTTCTCGAAAACCGGAAGTGCTACGTTACTCAAATCCGGTTTGTAGTCTTATCAGACTATTCTGAACTTATAACTTAAACATTTTCTTTATCTATCTTTTACGGTTTGGCCGCTGAAACAGCACCACGGACGGACGGACTTGTCTATTAGATACTTCAATCTTAGTTTGATTCACAAAACCAAAGGTTATTAAATGTTTTTAAACATAGAAACTAGTAGTTATTTTTTATTGTCACTGCACTGACTCTTGCACAGTGCTCCCAACATCGGAGCCATATCAGAGAATTCGGAATGCTTTCATAACAGTAAGTAAAATTTTAGTGGTCAAACTTAAGTTTTTTTTACTGAGGTTAAACCAAAAAGAGGATATTATCACTACGTGGTCAAACTGTATTACCAATTCGATGTTTTTTTAAACATCGATGCATCGAGTATATTGAAAGCTTTTCAAAACATCGGCTCGATTCGATGTTTTTCATTGCAAACATCGATGTTTTCGATGCATCGATGTATATCGAATATCCCTAGTCATAGCTGTCACTGTCATTTCGTGAAATTGTATTTTTGTGCTGGCGTTTTGGTCAAGGGCGGGGTGTTTTTTGAAATAATTCTATAATGATGATAAGTTGATTGAGGATAATAGCATCGTCCATAATATTCCAGAATTCTTTATTTTAGGACTGAATAGTTAGTCCTTTCCAATATGGTAAATAGCAACCTAAAAGTATTACCTTAACTCAGTGGTTTAACATACCACTTACATACTTAACACACTAAATGCAATTTTTTTTGCACCAGCTAAAAATTGGTTTCTTATAAGTTAGTTCCGTTTTTTGCCTTTTTTTAATAATTCTTCCTTTTTTCAGATGCAATTTATGCTATTGTTTAGCCGTCAAGGCAAACTTAGACTTCAGAAGTGGTATGTGGCTCACCCCGACAAGTTGAAGAAGAAGATAACGCGTGAACTGATCACGACAGTCTTAGCACGCAAACCAAAGATGTGCTCCTTTTTGGAGTGGAAAGATGTGAAAGTAGTGTACAAGAGGTATTGACATAAGTTTTATTTGTTTTGTGTTAAACCTGGATTAGTCTATGTAGCTAAATATTACGGAGACCTTGTTACCAAAAAATAGTAAATTCTTGGGCCCAGAAAGTACAGTTTTACCAAATACTAAATTAGGTATTAATAAATAAATATATTTGTGAAGATGCTGATCTTGCTTTATCTTATAAAGTTGTATTTTCAGTTGAATACTAAACAAATTTGCTTTCAGATATGCATCTCTGTATTTTTGCTGTGCTATGGAACAGGAAGACAATGAGCTTTTGACTCTGGAGCTTATTCACCGCTATGTGGAGCTGCTGGACAAGTACTTTGGAAGTGTAAGTTTGAAACATTTTATTAGCATTGATGTATTTTTCACACACACACAGACTCATACTCACAATGAGAGGTTTCACTCGCTACACTTCACACTTATTATTTTTTTACTTTTTTGGAAAATATGTTTGTGTCATACACAGCTTTCCCCTGTCAGGTTGGTTATAGATACATGTGTGCAGGATTTGGCAATGTATTGTGTCATTGTTTATGTGTGAGTGTCATAGTTACAGTTTTCTTATATATGCGTGTATGTAACTGAGTTTGTGAGTATATTCCCCCTGCAAAAAAGTTACAGAATGATTTGTAAAGAATTATGTTGTTATGTCTACTCCCTTCTGAGTTGCTTTATGGTTGAGAACATCTTAACCTATATTATCCCAGGGGGTCGCTAGCGACCCAAATTCTGTAACTACCTTATTTTATTTTTTTATTTTAATGTACTACAATAATTTATACCAAATGCATTTTCTCGGCTAGTTGCAAGTGTGAAGTATGTTTATAAGTAAAATTAAAATGATTATAATGATAAATTAGACTTCTACAACTCCAAAACTTTTTGATTTGGGATAAGTGTGAAATTTCTGTGTCCGGAGTTACGAAAAATGTAAGTATCACTTTTATCACTTATGTTGATAGAAATTTGAAATATTGATATCATAATTAGATAACTTATGTATAGAAATGTACTATTTATAATAAGTATTTTTGTTTTTTATACCATAAAAGAGATCGGTAAAAATATTTGGGTCGCAAACGACCCAGTGGGATAATCCCTGACCTTTTGTTTCCTTTTATAGGTCATAGCGTGGCTTGTCTGCGTGTGAAATTTTGGAAGTTTTGGAGACTTTAGTGGAGGAAGACGATATTGGTCAGGTAGACGTATACTTGGACCCTCCTGGTGATGGCCAGCAGTCCGAAGGTGACTCGGGAGACGAAGACTGTTCGGATATAAATAGACTTTCTCGTGCGCAGCTCCAATCTAATGCACAGCTGGTGATAAATCGATCTGAATCTCCTGAAAATGAGAACGGGATTGAGCCTGAAGTAGTGCAGCCTGGACCCAGTAGAATTGGAAAGTCGAAATCTTCGAAGAAGCCTACAAGACCGGTTCGAAAATGGATACGCAAGGTTATGATACCGACGAGTGAATCATGGAAACAGCCTTTACCCCGTGCAGTTTTATCACTTGGACCTGAGTGTGAAGCAATAGAATTCTTCCAACAATTTTTTGGTTTTGACGTAGTCGAAGATTTGGTGAAGAAAACGATTATTTATGCCGTGCAAAAAAATAATCCCAAACTCTTCTTTCCAGCTAATATGAAGTGGAGCCTTTGAAATCAGCTACGCGTTATTCAGCAGCTGCAAAATCAAGAGTTACTGTACCACAGCCAGATATGATAGCTCAGTACAACCGCTATATGGGTGGTATAGATCGCCTGGACTCCAATGTTGGAGCCTATCGTATATATTTTGGATGTAGCAGTCAACAATGCTACGCTTTTAGCTAAGTCCATGGGATCACTCCTATCAACATTAGAATTTCGAAGATCCTTAGCTACCGCTTTACTCCTGAAATATGGATCTCCTCGCGATGCTTCAGGACCTTCAATCACGAGCAGGCGGTCCATACCCATAAGTGTTCGAATGCATAATGCTGAACATATTCTTTTATGTAGGCAAAGAAGGCTTAGATGTGTTGTATGTAAAAATAAAACAAACAAAATCTGTAAGAAATGCGGAGTCAAACTTCATGATAAGTGTTTCGAACAGTTTCATTCGTAATTTTCTTTTTTATTAGTACTTTTGGTGTCATAATATATATTTTTATTAATTTACAAATTAGTCTCATTATGTACATTTTTGGACATATATTATCCCATTGGGTCATTAGCGACCCACTTAAAAACAACCCTTTTTCCATATTTTTTTCCAATTATAATATTTTTGCCTTTTATTTAAACCAATTATGAGCAACATATGTAAAATTTAAAAATTTTGATGATCAAAATAGTTACGGGCATATATGGGTTAAAAAGCTTGTATCAAATATATGAAATTCTCGTGTCACAGTGTGTGTAATTGAACTACTCCAAAACGTCTTGACCAATTTTTGTGAAATTTTATATGCATATACAGTGGATCTGAGAATCGGACAACATCTATTTTGCATCCCCCTAAATATTAAGGGCAGTCTACCCTTAAATGTTTGTTTTTTTTGAAAAATCTTTTTGATTTTTTTTTATGATACAACAATACACAACCCTAAATTTTCACCCTTGTACCACCAACCCCTATTTTTTATGGCGGTACGAAGTTCGCTGGGACAGCTAGTTTTTATATAAAGAGCGCTGCACCTGAGATACAGGTCTCCTAGTTCAGGTGCCGATGTATTTTTCTACAGTTGGATGAGCATTCTAACATTGTTAGATGTTATTAAATTGTGTACAATTTTTATAGTACAAATAAATTATTATTATTTTGTCATTTATTCTATGCCAATATGTACAAATCACAAAAATAAAAGAAATAACCCGTTCATGTAGATCTGAGACAATTTGAATGAACAATAACAAATAAATTCAACTATTATCCTTTAGTTACCCACTGATCCACACTGGGCCTGGATTGTGGGTCATGGCCCAATGTCCCACCCATAGGGAAGACCTGTGCCCCAGCAAGGAGAATAGGCTGATCATAATTAAATCAAATAATTTCAATGGTAACAAATTTGAAAAATTGAATCATGTCTATTAAACTATACCTTTCTAATTTCCAGGTATGTGAACTGGATATTATATTTAACTTTGAGAAGGCGTACTTCATCCTCGATGAACTGGTGCTTGGCGGAGAGTTGCAGGAGACAAGCAAGAAGAACGTTCTGAAGGCCATCGCTGCTCAGGATCTGCTCCAAGAGGTCAGTAGCCAAGACAATGAGCTTGTCTAAACTATGGCATTGATTTAATAATTGATTCTGAAAGTTTTTAGAATATTACAGCAGATTATCTTTGTTTTTCTATTTTCAAATGCACTCTTAATTTTTAAAGATACTGTTTTGTATTTTTATGTTAGTTCCATAAGGCATAAAATAATGAGGAATATGGATTAAGAAACATTAGAAATTTTACAACTTTGTAAAATTATTATATCAATGTCAAATTTTTACTTACGGTTCAAGATGATGAATATTTTATGTCAGCCTCAAATGTAGAAAGTCTCAATTTTAGGTACTTATCTAAACTCGAGAATATTATCATTGTATATTCTATTTATACTGATACTTGCTTAAGGATAATTAATTATGAGTTATAATTCTGCTCAGATATATTTAATTATAAGTCAATCTTTTTTTAAATTTACATTATTAGAATTAATTATAAAAAATACGTATAGTTGAATAATGAATTAGGTATAGCCCTGAACATTTCTATTGTTTTAAAATGAAATGGCTACTGCAATAAACTATGTTTTTTTACTTATAGATAGGTCCGACAAATGTTACTTGTTTGGTATGTTATGTGGACCAGTATCTTAGGACAGTGGCCTAAGTAGTGCCTTTTCAGTGTGTTTAGGTAGCACTAGGTTATTTAATGTAGGAGCACTGCCTTTTTAGGTCATTATTATATAATAATATAACTCTATGTTTCATACATATCAAATTAAGAAATAAAAAAACTTCTAATAACATTTGCACTTTGCTAATATAAATAAAATTTACCATATCAACATAAAAAAAGAACCAATTTAAATAGAATTTAGAAGCTTTATTAGTGCCTATTAAAAGTTTATATTTAATTAGGTTTTAATGACAATCAAGTTTACACTTTATAAGACATGTTAATTAGGATATTTATATTCTAAACGTTTAATGCAGACTGTTTGTTTGCACTTTATAGAAAATTACCATATTCTCACAACTTGTTAGCACTTTTTTTTCTATACGGAACTGAGTAACTGCTAAACACAGCTTTTTTAAAAATTCTCTGTTCACATTCCTTTTCCTTTCTTATAGTTTTGACATGAATAATCTTATAATTATTTTAATAAGAATATTAGGCCTTTACCTTACTAAACTGTCCATCTGCAACAAAATAAACTTTATGTAGAATTGAATATTCACCAGCCATTTTATGATGAAAAACATTAAATAAAATAGCATTGTTTAACACAATACTTAGCACGTCTTTAGCTAAGACAATAACTTAAGAAACATCCTCTGTGTAGGTGGACAGTTTGAGCTTGCCTTATTTATAACATCACCTCTTCAAAAAACTTCTCCTTGTAAAGATGGAAATTGGAAGACAACCTGAAATGAACCTAACTTTCTTTATATGTGCTGTGTTACCGCTTTCTCCTCTTGTACTTGCTAATCTTCCTTTCTTTTGGTGTGACGTATGCATGCACGCGGTGCCAGGAGCCGAACGATGGATTGTTGCACTGACGTCTTCGACCTTCGCTGAATAACAAGCTACTATAAGTCGCCTTCTGTGTTTCTGCTTGTTGTGTGCCAAACAAGGGAATTTTGTGCCATGCTTTTCCCACAACAGTGTGGCGAGGAAGTTTGGTACTAAATGCGCTAGTTTAGTACAGTTAGTTTTCGAAATTTGAATCATTTCTGTCATAATGAATTAGCGGGCTGCGTGTCTATAGAGGTAGACGATAGCTTGACTGCAATAACGATAATTTGACACGCTAAAAGAGGTTGTGGAAAACGATAAATTTGTATGCTCAGCTGAAGGAACGTACTTAAGCCAAAGTTCCAACGATAATTTTAACGTATCATAGTACCGAAGACACCCAAAGCTTCGTCACGCTGGTGAGGGATAAGCATCAGAAGCATCACTACATCTACATAAGTGAAAGTAAAATTTGTCAGTGAAATGTGATCTTTATCAGTCTAGTCATAGCGTTCAGAATCTCGATAACAGTTGCTCTTTGCGCTTACTTTTAGTGACGTTTCTGTAGTGTTTAACCCCAATTTACAGTAGATCCCTTTTTAGATAATAACTAACATATTTGACAGACTAATGAAGTGGCATTTGTTTAAAATATTAACTTGTCAGTAGTTATATTATCACTGTCAATTAATGTCTTGTTATTTTCACAAGTAATTAAGTAGTTTATATAGAACTGCTAGCTCAGCATTCTAGTATTGTTAAGCTAATACTTATTACCCCCATAGTGTTCATTACAACTCGTAAAGATGAAGAAAAATGATTTCTATAAATACCATGTTTATGAAAAGAAATAAACCGGTTTATTGTGACACCACCCTTTCATTGAGGGTTATTTTTAGCAATTTCAGGTTTCTTTTTATATTGAAGTAGTTGCGTGAAGTATATATAATAATATATACTATAAGTAACGTTCTTCAGAATCCGGTTATTATAATTGATTTGATTCGGTCACATTCAAATGAGAAAGGAACTTGCTGGAGTAGTTGTTCTATTAAATTTCATCCTAATGTTGACTAAATTAAAAATGTTGCGACATCATCCCAAAATGTAAGTATCTGTTAATCTTTTCATCTATTTATATATTGCATGATCGTTTTTGCTTTTATTTTATACCTTTCTTTTATCGTTTTTATGTTGGTTTTACCTTTTTTATTATTCACGTTTTTTCAGAGATTTCAGCATGCACGTTATGACACTCACTGCATACCTACACTAATTACTATTTCAATATTAGCATTATTCCAAAAGATGTACAATAAGTGTTAGATGGTAATTGTTTGAAAACAGTCTCTGACATAAGGATTACTTACGTGGTGTTAGATCTGATCTGTTAGGTGTACATTTATAGATTCTATGTATAAAACTATTGCGTGCTTTCGATAAACATATAAACATTGGCGTATTTAGAATATGTACCTAAACTGTGACTTTGGGTAAACATTCGATTAAGTATGAAAAAAAAAAGTGCAATTATTCATTACTTAGTATTTCCAAACTTTAAATAGACGCAGAGCATAGCGAATTATTGCATAAAGCTCTGTTAAATAACACTACTTTTTTATGGTGTTGTGTATTTGATGAATAAGTTTGAGGGGTTTCACAAGGTAGTATGTTCAGACCGGTAAGGTGAGAATGGCTAGCATAAATATTGATAATCGGTCGCTATTAGCTCTCTTTGTAGTTAGGTTGCGTGGATTGGGTAAAGGGAAATTTGGGGCGAGGGACCTGAATGATCTTGAATATGCATCATGAGATCTTGGTGTAGGTACAAATACGTTATATATGCATCAGGCAAGCTATAGAGTGGGAATGTTAAAATCTGGTGTAAAACGGGGGAAAATCCAAATAATCATGTCAGGCAATGTTGGAGTTGACGCCTGCAGCTATTAGGTTGGCAATATTAGATGAACCCTGTTTAAAACAATCAAAGTTTTAACATATGCATTAGCCAATCGAAAACTAGTAGAATCTAGTAGAATGTTGGATCTAAACACGGCCAACCCGAGTTCTACATGCGCCAATGAATATGTAATCGAGACATGTACCTATTGTACTAAGTATGATGTTACGACGCGCCTTTCCTTTCATTGCATGTAGTAATTATTAACGTAAAATTTTGTTATGTTTCAATCGTTTCAGGCTTTACTAATATGTGCTTACGTTTTTTAATAAACTGTAAAAGATTAACTCGTATTCATAAATCACGGTTTGTTGCCTGTAATGTTTTTAAGGACTTGTCAGCTTTAATTGTTTTTTTTTCGCGTTTTTCTCGCTATTACGTTTGTGTGTTATTCATAAACAAACAGTTATCTGATTAGTTGTTGATTTGTGAATACGGGGTAGTTTTAATATCATTTTACTGATATTAATATTCTATATTGAGCCCTTGTTGAGACGATGTTGTTTGGTGGTGGTATGGCTGCTTACTTGGTACTTGTATTGGGATGTTGAAATACATTGGTTTTAAAAAGAATTATCACTGTTTTCTTGCATGTTCCCAACCTTTCCCTGTGCCGTAGCGCGACAATGTAACAAATGGTTATGAATACTGTTAATGGTTATACTAATTTTTTGCCTTAACTACCTACACCTAATTATTAAATTTCATTGAATGCATGTAGCCTCATATTTTTTTTCTTATAGAGCATTAATATTGATATTTATTCTCAAGACGCATTCTCATCGTGGCAAACTTATATTCTAAACTAATTATCTAACTATTATAACCTCTTAAAAGGTACAAAATACAATTAACTCAGTTTCCCTTACTTAAAACACAGATAATTGATTAAATTCGATGAATATTTTATTTATTGTGTTATTGATAGTTTATATACTAATGCGGGAAAACTTTCATGTATTAAAGAATTAATTACTTACCACTTTCTAGACTTCAAATAGGACAGCTCGAGCTTATTACTTCCTAGATTCATCCTAATTGTATTAGGGTATATTGTTTAATTTTCTTATATTTAAGTTGTTAGTATATTTTATGCAACGTGCAATAATGGGGTAAAATCGTCAAACCTGGATTGGCCTCCGAAAGAACAGCCAGCCAAGCATGACAATGACAACTAGCGCGAAAGTATCGCCATCATCACTTTATGGAAGGAACTAATTTTATTGTTTTTAAGGGTTAAACGTTAAACGTCCAGCGAGGGCCCTGCTTTGTTTTCATAGAAACTGATGGCGATACGAAGACTTTTTCGCCAGTTCGTACTTGGGATATTGCACTGGCTAAAGCGAAGAACGCAGACTGCGCTGTTATTAGCATCGTTCTCGTTTTTCCAATATTTACTTAAACGGTTTCAAAATCCGGCTTTGCCCGAAATTATCTGGCAACATTGATCCACCTTCATAGTTGTTTTGAAATCGGCTTGCACCACCCAGGACGAGACAGTCGACGCGGCGCTGCGAGAGGTGGGGCTACTCTGATGCGCGCGCGCAGCTTCCACGTACCAACTACGACGCATTGCCATACCGACAGAAACATTCCTAACACTCGTACATTTAAAGGATCTGTTTCATTACTGTGAAGTCTTTATTATTATTGTTATTGCCATGTTAATAATGTACACTACTAAAGTCCACTTGCAGCAGTTTTGATAAATCTCAATTTAACTAAAACATGTTATATTATAACCCATAGAAAAATGACAAATTGACATTAACGCTTTGACATTTTCTAGTGGGTTAAACCTAGTTTTAGTTGAAGGGAAATTTGGCAAATTTGCTGCAAGTTGCCCTTAATTAAACATTATTTTGATTTCTGTATGGTTCAAGGTTGGATGTTTAAAAAAATTTTATGACTGTGTTGGTATTATATTGTGATATGATAAGTAATTGGCCCAATTCTGGCATGATTCTCTTCATTCACCTAAAATTATATTTGACAACAGTGTGTCCTCGTCATGCACAATACAGAATTACAAGGAGAGGCTGTTGTGAAATTTAGTTTTTGATTAAAGGTGCTTTTCCGAACCCGCCTGCAGCTACCTACAGGTGCTGTCTGCATTTAAAGCCTGCAGCCGCTACCGGCATGTATTTTATACAAATAAATATAAACCAGTCGTGCATCCCCAGCCGGGCTACTGGCAGCCGCCGCCAGTGCTATCTGTAGCCTGCAGCCGAGATCGGAAAAGCACCTTAAAGAATCATGTCAGAATCAGGGCAATATCCATGTTAAATAATATATCTATATCTAATTATAATCGTGTTCCCCAATGACATTTGCGCAACGATTTTAATAATATTATCGTTGCGTTTGCGCAATAAGTGATTTAATAGGAGCGCCCTCTAGTGAAATCGCAAAGTAGCGAGGTACCTACTGCGAGAGTTTATCGTTTACAAAGATTCGATCGAATTTATCACCTAATACTGAAAACAAGTTAAGTGGAACTTTGTTTTTGTTGATACTGACTGAATAATATAACTATTGATGATTGACGTATGGCACGGGTGAATAGTAATTTAGTTAAAATTAACACATCCATAATTCAACAGGTCTTGTTTATTACCCTTTTAAAATGTCTCAATATTTCGCACTTTAACATCAAAATGATTCATGTGATGTATTTAAATTTCTCCGTAATTAAACGGAATCCTTTTCTAGATACGAGTTGAAATTTCGTAACATTTATGACAACCTTATCGTAAGACTGGTAAAGTATGTTATAGTTTGTTTTGCTTTTTATCGAATTTACGTACGAATACTGAAGCTGTGGTTATTTTGAAAATACATAATTACAGTTACAAAATATACTATAATTATTTGTCAAAAAATACAAAATCTATAATTCTTTATTCCAACTTTGGATACAGTTGACAATTTTAGACGGCAGGGTGCGGTACCTACTAATATGTATTATTACATTATTATATTAATGCAATAACTTACTTATATGTATCAATGAAGAGGTCAACTATCATTTTACGTACTGACAAATTAGGTTCAATTTATACCGCTGCGGAATGAATGATAGCATATTTGCAAGGAAATTGTGCATAATGTCAAAACTTCATGTCGATTTTATAACACACAAACTAAATACGTGCCAAAAAAAACTTGAGGATTCCGCGGAAGACGCGCGACTGTTTTATGCTCAATTTTGTTGCAAAAATTAATTTCCATTCCATTCCGCGGCGTTATAAAATGAGCCTTACAATAATAAACTCAATTTATTTCTTTAAAGTACCTAAGTTATGACGTAATAGAGGGTACTCTCTCAACTTAAAGTAAAGTTGGGTAAGAAAGCCATTATATTTTTTTATTTTTAGAAATAATCTTCTCCGAATATTTCCTTAAGCTTGCCCACATCGAATTAATAATTAAGTACCTAATTCATACATTTTATTATTTTATTAGAATTAATTTGAAATGGTCTTTTATGACTGAAATGATTTAATGAAATCGTTTTTTAGGAATATTTTTATGTTTTTATAAGATTTAGGTGTCCTTACATTGTTATTTTACTTGAAGAGTTTATTGTGTTTTAATTGTTTAGAAAAATTACTCTATTTGGTTTTTTATATCTATAACGCGATGGACCATTATGTATTAATTTAATGATACAAAATGGTAGGGATATAGTTATCATACTCAAATGAATATGATTGGTACATTATCTGCAAAGTGAGTGATAAGTTTACTCATAATTCAGTGTTCATTTTATTTCACTATGTATTTACCAATAGCGTAATAATAGACGCTCAAAGTCGGTTTCAAATCAATCTAATGAAATCGAATATTTTTGTAATTAAATCAAACAGACGACGTTATACTTTTTATGTTGATAATTAAAAGTTCTTCAGTTTTAAAGTTTGCATCAGAGAGTGAAGGTACGTCACACAACCCTGCTTAAATGAGTGCACTCTACCCTTAGCACGCCATCCATGACCGTTCAATCTTGCCGGACTTATACATATATACCAGTATACTGGCCAGTGCTAATGACGTCATGAATCGACGCTATACTGGTGAATTGTTCCGAAATATACTGGCCAGTGCACTGACGTCATAAATCGACGTAATATTCAAAATAGTGCGAATAAAGAAGATTTTTTATTTACCTCATCAATTAAAAGGAATTCTTTCTGTTCGTATGCCATTATTGTTCTTTAAATAAAAAAGAAATAAAAACACGCACGCTCGATCATACGTCATATTCGTTTTCCCGGTAAAAATATGGTAGCATACCAATACAATATGGCGTTGGATTCGTGACGTTATTACCACTGGCCAGTATATTAGGCCATAGTTGAATTCGTCTTGATACGTGTCAAATATATCAAGAACTATTGTATGGAAGATTTTTAATTCTGGTTACGTCCGTTGTAGCGCTGTTCAAATTTCCATACAAAACTTATCGAATCGAGATCGAATTCAACTAGTCGAATTAGGTATTGGTTCGTGCTAAGGGTCACTCTACTTGATATACCTATACTTGATGGTGATTCATTGCTAAATCCGTATCCGTTTTAAAAAATGTATACTTATGAAATTTATTAACCCTTGGACCGCTCGAACTTGCTAAGACTGTTGACGTGGCTCTACAACGTGAGTCATCATTAAAATCAATATAATAATTTATTATTATCTTGAAATGTATTTTTTCCGATCCGACATAAGACATTATCGCATTTTTATTAAATTGATTTGAAATCTATACCTACATATAATAAAATACTTTTCTTCAATACTTGTATAGATATCTTTTCAATATACAGGGTTAATTTTAAAACACTATTAACCTCTTATGGGGTGATTCTACCCATCAAGAGGAACAAGTTTTAGTATGGGCCAATGCTGAAATTGCGAAAAAAAAATCTGCTGTTTCATACAAAAGTGCTAATCGACCGAAATGTATGAAACAGCTGTTTTGTTTTTCGCGCTTTCAGAGTTGGTCCGATAATAAAATTTGTTCCTGTTAATGGGTAAAGTCACCCCATAAGATGTTGTTGGTGTTTTAAAATAACCCTGTATTCTTGCGGACCCATCTAGCAGCCCACCTAGCATTTTAAATTTTGACGGTCCCTAGCTAAAAATAAATGTTACTTTGAGTAGACCCGACGCTGTTTTGAAGTTCATTTAATAACCATCTTTTCGTGTGTTTTTAAATTTATTGCTCAAACATAAACATATTTTTTAGCTACAGAACGTTGAAATTATAACACTAAGGATCGTATTACAGAATGAGAACTAAGTGTTGATCTTTACTTGAGTACAGTTAGAGAGGGATGTCGCTATGTGCTATATATAGCGACATCCCCTTCTAACTATGCTCAAGGCTAGATTAATCACTGTGAATCTTTCTATCATACGGGCCTTAGTGGGCCTATAGATGTGTCCAGAAGAAAAGAAATACGGCGCGCGCACGCTCAAAATACGCACAAAATAAATATCAAGTTACCCATCGATGCGATGTTTCGATTAAACATCGAATTTATCGGCAAAAATATCTTGCGATAGGGAGCGATTCGTCATTTGTCACACAAATTAGTCCTTAAAAGACTATCAGGTTAGTTGTAATAGTTAGGTTGAAAACCATTGAATTTTTTTATGTCCTACTGTCTGAACTGATCAGAGAAGGGATTCAAAGGCAAGAGAAATGTACCCCTAATTTTCTGTCCTTTGAGTATTTGCCTCTTTAATTTACTATTGCATAAAGTGTGTTACTATAATTCATTTTAAGGAGTGCCTGCAGTCCTCTTTTTTAGTCGTATTTTCTACCGAATATGTCAACGAGAAAGGTGGTTACATATTTTTGGTGAAAACAGAACTAAATTAATAAGCCTCAGTGCATTCGTTCTAAATGTGGTATCGTTCGGGCCAGAATATGAAAATGTGTTCAGATTCCTACCTAATAAACGTAATACATTTGCACAAACATGATAAGATAACGATAATTATAATTGAAAGAGGTATATATACACACTTACTGTTTATATCTTTTCTACATACTTTTGACGTGAATATATGCAGGTATGAGATAACGAAACCATTACCTCAAACACTTGTTTTTGAAATTCTAAAGCTTATAAATACATAGAACGTTTTTTATACAATACATTTCGTCTTCAATGTAGTTATTAAGTATTAATATACTCGTTAAATATTTCGGATTAACAAAAAATTTATAGGTAGGTATATGAAAAGAGTAAAATAGGATTTTATTATTACCTATACTCACTTCACTTTGTAGCGTATAGCGTCACCCCCTGACTCTATCTATTTTTCGATAGAGAGACACGTTTATCAAAGTCACCACAGTACAATTTTATTGTCATTATGTGTAATAAATTTCTATTTCGTACTTAAACAGTTTTTAACAATTTGTAATAAAATATACTGTTTTTCTGAAATAAAATCTTTTTTATTATCAGGTCTTATGTAGATTGTGCAATATCCATACTTTACTTTATCCTATAGTGATATTTTGGTGCGTGTTATGTTTAAACTAGTTTATAATATTGATGTTATTATCAATTTGAATTTAATAAATAAATGGATTATATTTTATTTCTTTTAATTATATTAAGGGGTCTTGGATACTTTTAACACCCAGACGCAAAAAACAGGTAGGTACTATAAGTTCGTCGTTGTCAGTGTGTGTCATCATAAAGTTCTAAATGAATGGACCGATTTTGATGCGGCTTTTTTCCTCTGCTCCAAAGAAATCTGCCTTAAATTAACCTTTAATTACCTAGAAAACTATAACACCATATCCGTACTTTCTTATAAAATTACCAAACCATTACTGCATTATTACATAACGTAGACTAAAGGTTACACTAGAATAAAACAGATCTTCTTACTTTTGTTAGCAAAAAGAAGATAGATACAACAATAGGTTTTAAACCAAGAATAACTTTAGTCCGCGTTACGGAATAAGGCGGTTAAAGATTATAGTAATGATCGTAAATAACATTAAAAGACCTAAACTGTCTAAATAAGATTAAACATCAATCCGACTCAATCCTTGTTTCAGCCAAAATTGTACCTTACCCTTAAGTTATAAGATTGAAACAAGCTTTTATTATCGCCATTTACAAAATTTACCTTATGCCTTCATTTTAAAGTTGAAAATACTGTAACTTTTGTAGTTGTTGTTTGCCGAAAAGCGATGGCTCGGTCTAACGCGAGCACGAGCGACACTGGCTCAGTGGTTGTACCTTGTTGCAGGAGGAGACACCGCAAGGCTTCTTCGAGGACCACGGCCTTGGGTAGTCACCTGTCGCCTACTGAACACGACGAAGTTTGAGAATCTACAATCTACCTACTACAATATATTGCTTGCATGTCTGTACTATTAGGATCGCCGTTACGTAACCACTGTAGAATGAACCTGTGGGAGTAAGTGCAACAAAGAAGTTTTTTTCCGTAGGCGTAACTTTTGTTTTGTAGTATGAAAAATTGGGAATTTCTTCATCCTCCCACAGATGAAGCTTGCAAAGATTTTTTGAGAGAGAAGTGGTTATGCGACAGAGACCCCGATGGTACGTACACCTAATACATTCGATAAATATATTATAATATAAATCATACTGATTTTTAACAAAGAATCTGACCTCGCTCCTAAAATTCAACCTTAATCCAAATTATCGATACCTTTTGTTTTGTCTGCCATCATAAAATTGCCAATTTTCATAATATCGCATGTAAAACGATAATAAAGTTTTAAAATAATAATATTAATGGTTAATTTTTCTTTCTGAAAACTTTTTGGTAGATATTGTGGTAATAAATACTTGATTTTCAAACTTAAAATTTATAGTATTATATATTTGTCTACAATCAGCAGACCTAATGTATTAATATAATGTTAGATCTTAGTAGCTTAAGCTATATGCCTTCGATATGTAGTTTGCTTTTAAGTTCAGATCAGGCAGCTAGTATAAGTATGTACTTAATTTACGATATTTATATTCACTCAGTTAAATGTTATGTTGTTCAGAAGGCACAAGTTTGTCGTCTTATTTTGTTTTAAAAGTACGCATTTATTAATTTATGCTTCATGATTGTGTCTCATTCTTTGTGTGAATGTTCTAAAGAACTTGTAATCTATATATTCTTTATCGCTGTTAATTTCATATAATCTTTTGTTTCTTTCTTCTTATCACACATTATGATAACTTTGTGCCAAACACAATGGTTCCCTATTTAATTGGAAAAATCTACAAATTATCAAAAGACTGTATTTTAAGAATGTTAATGCTGCGAATGTAAAATATGATTTTTTATTTTATTCATCAAATGAATTGTATGTATAAATTTTGATATCATATATTTCCATATCGAGTTCATATCTTAGATCTGCGGATGAATTTTTATAATCCAAGTAAATACGAATCAATTTCCATTAAATTTATCGTTTTCTACTGTATATATACATTTGGCCTAAATCAAAGCATCAAAATTACTACTACATTATTGAATACCCATTTTGGGATAATAAACTGATTATAATAAAAACTCACTGTTTTATTTTTAGAAATATATTTTATTTTAAAAAGATCTCTTACAAAGCTATGTCTATTGTATGATTAAATAATATCCGAGTACAAATCTTTAAAATCCATCAAAACATACATAAGACTCGTATGACAGTCTTCGATTACATGATAGGTACACATCTTAATGTCTAAAGTCCATAACAGTAGATACAGCCTGTATATCTGCAGTATGGCTTATAAAACTTTAAACATTATAAAAAATAAAGTTTATGATAGTGATATTAATAACTAAGCATTTTCCGATATGTCAGATTTAGCTTCGGGGGTAGATTTGAGTATGTTAGTGGTGGTCGGGGCCGTGGTCCGGTCGACGGGGGGGTTAGTCCCCTGCGAGGGGGGGGCCGGGTCCGCGTGCGAGGTCGCCGGGGGGGCCGGTTCCTCTGCCCGTTGCTGGTCACTGGTCACTTTGGCCAAGTGGAGGGCCGCGAGCAACGCCGTCACGTAGCGACGAACGTCCAATTCCACGCCTGCACCGACAAAACAAAACTTGATTATTTTATTCTGCACTCCAAAGTAGTTCTTAATTTATGGAATACTCTAAAAATGGTAAGTACAGGCAGTCCTCGACTTACGTCGTTTCAAGTTACGTCGAACAATGTTTTGACACTATTCCTCAAGCATACGTCAATTGTTTCGATTTCCGGCATAGGAGAATTCACTTGTCGCGAAGTCAATGTCCATGGGGCTGGCATCCTCTCGACTTTCGTCGTTTCGACTCACATCGCGTATTTCGAGAACCTAACATGCCGTAAGTATGAGAACTGCCTGTACTCTAAAAATGGGATTGATAAGCATATCAAAACAGTACTTTATCAAATTTGATAAATGAAATTGACAAACATTAGGTGCAACGGTAACAATCCTGCCTTCTTATAGCGCGATTACACTTGGTCGTAAGTCCGAATACGACTGCCCATGGAATTCGCGTAAACGACTAATGCCGCAATTACATTTGGTCTTTAGGGTATTCGGTATTTCGGGTATTCGGGTGCACGAAAGACATCACTTTGATTCGGGCACCTGAAGCAATATTTACGCTGGAGAACGGTGTCGGGTAAACAAAAGGAAATCTACCCGAATACGAACGTATTCGAATTTGTCCATTTACACTTAGTCGTGTATCCAAATTCCATTGACACTTTTATTCGAGCTAACGACTAAGTGTAACCGCGCAATAAGTGTAAATGAACGGAGTCGACTACGCCCGTATTTGGGTGGTTTTCGTTGTGTTTACCCGACACCGTCCTCTTGCCCGTATTCCAGTGTAATATTGCTTCGGGTGCCCGAATTCGAGTATTGCCTTTCGTACCCCGAATAAGGGCTAACGACCAAATGTAATTGAGCCATTAGGCAGTTCGTCACCGGGACGTCAATGAGAAAGAGATGACGTCGCACACACTGCGATATTGTGGGATTTGGCCTGAGATGCGGCCATGTTTTTTAATGTTTTCAACGAGATTGCTATGGCTGTCGTTATAACTTACGATTTTATTTTGTTTTTTCTGACCGCCGAAGGTTTTCAAATGCCCCGCGCTCTTTGTTTTTCTTTTGTATGGGTAACAACAATATCAAAGAAAATGAGCGTAGGGTATTTGAAACCTTCGGCGGTCAGAAATAACAAAATAAAATTGTAAGCTTTAGCGATAACCCTAGCAATTCCTTTAGGCGATTTAACCCCTGGGGGCCATTTGCCTAACGGAAATGCTTTGGAAAACGCTAAAGCTTACGATTTCATTTTGTTATTTCTAGCCGCCTGGGGTTTTCAAATGCCTCGCGCTCTTTTTTTTTCTTTTGCATTGGTAACAACAATATCAAAGAAAATGAGCGTAAGGTATTTGAAAACCTTCGGCGGTCAGAAATAACAAAATAAAATTGTAAGCTTTAGCGATAGCCATAGCAATTCCTTTAGGCGATTTACTTTAGGTCCTACAATGAGCTGAGGGTTCGGTTGAGGTAATCAGTGGGCAAACGACCTTACTGCTCTTACTTATCTAGTTTCGAAATTTGTTTGTGTAATGATTATAAAAGTTTGTTCATGATTGCTTGTGACCTCATTTATGTACCACAACTGTATTTTGTATGCATAGTACAGGTACAGAATGTGTGAGCTGACTGGAATTTATTTATTATTTAAGAATTTTCATATCGGAAAAATGAAATAATTCATATTAGTAGCGAAGAATAAGACACTTCGAATGCAGTGAAATCAATTCGTGTAAGTTTGTACCTATGTATGTTGCTCAATCACGCAAAAACTACTAAACGGACTTGAGTGAAAATTGGTACGCATATAGAATATGTCCTGGATTGAGACATAGGATACTTTTTATCCCAGAAAAAGATAAGTTCCTGTGGGATTCTCAAAAAATCAAAGTTAACGCGGACAAAGTCGCAGGCTGTTAGTTAGTCATAAAAACCCTCGAGCGATCCACCTCGCCATTAATACATTATAAAAACATCTAGATTCTAGACTCAAATTTTACTTCATTGACCTCGAAATTAATAGAAATTATATGTTTAGGGGTACGTATTTACGCGCATATACGATTAATCAATTACGTTGGCAACATTTAATTACCTACGTTGCGAGTTCGTGCGTCATAAGCATCCTGTTAATTGTTAATTCAGCTGTAACATGCAAATATTAGGTACACATCTGGTTTGTATTTTAATAATTTAGACGATCAATCCATTGAGCAACTTGTGATGTCTTATCGTCATTATATTAAAGGTCAAGAAGCTAGAGACCTTTCCGTCCGCCATATCAATTACATATTGTTGCGTGCGCGTTTACGCAACATAATTTCAGTAGGTCATTGTGCTTACAAATACTGCTGAAGTATTCCTACACAAGTTATTATACAGGGTGTAAAAAACCTATGATAGACTTAAACTACGCATTCTTCACACCCAAACAAGTCATATTACAAAATATTACTTTTTTTTTATTTTTTTTAAGTTACAAAATACATTTTTTTCCAGTACGCAATGTATGGCGCGGTGCGCTACTGTGGCGCTATGCAAAGAATATGCCTGTGTGTATGTGTGTGCGTGTGTGTAAGTGCGTCGATAAAAGTTTCTAAATAACATTTTGAAAATATTAATGTATAAATCCTGAAAAAAAAAAATTGGCTTTAGGAGATTGCTCAGCTTCCATACATGTTTGGCCTAAAAACCAATAACCATGAAAAATTGTTTCCTACATTCGAAATTATATATAAATTACCGTAGAAACGAATATTATCAACGGCCACTCCTAAGAACTTCTATAAACCATATACACTGAATGATTTTGAGGTTATGTTTGCAAATAGGCACATAGGTATTAGAATAATAAAAACCAAATAACTTATATAGGAAAATAGGGCAATCAAGCCAAGTACCGATATTATGTATTAGATTCAGGTATATAGAGCATGTAAAATAACAGATATGTGCATGTTTTTAAAAACACGAACAGAAACTGTGTGATGATTGTGAATGAGCCACAGATTAGAGAGAATTTTTAAACTCTCGTTAATCAAAGAAAGCTAAGAGCTGTAGGTTATACAGCCATATCTTCAGCAGCTTCATTATTTTTGTTATGTTTTTATTATAACCATATTTTAGATTTTTAGTGTATCACACCTTATAATGTGTTTATTTAGGTGTTTGGCAAAAAATGTACGGCAATAGACTTTATGATGTCGCCTACCATCTATATTAATTGTCTTAGCACATTTGCATGTAGTAAAAATGATAATAAAGATGTGGATATTAATACCACCCGTGTAATAAAAAAAAAATGGTTGCCTGTAAAGTCGGTTTTACGGGCGAAGATTTTACGTGACAACGTCTTTTTCTCGGTAGAATATTTATTGATATGAATATAATTAAATTGCACAATAGGAACAAGGAATTGAATGAAAATAAGAATTGCACAAATTTTAACTATAGAAATATATTTTGTTTACTAAAACATTGTACATGTAAACTTAAACTTAACACGAGAGACTCATCGTAACGTTACCGAGCGTTACACTTTTTCATAAGTGACTCCCAGCCGCAACCTAATTTAAGACGTTTTCACGTCAAAAAAAATATCAATCTTTACAAAATAGATTTGTTTTGATGTTATATAAACAACCTCGATAAGTCTTTGTGAATGTTACTACACCCATAGCCAATAAAAATGATTCGTATGTTTTCCAAACCGGTAAAAATAGAAGTCCTTTTTTAAAATTAATATATTATTTAAAGGTGGCCGTTAAAATCTAATGACTGTAAAATAAAGTATAAATTACGCCAAGAATTACTGTATATGTCAATATTTTATTTGCATTTAGGCCAATTTGACCAATCTCCTTTCCCAGGCATGGCCCAGAAGAAAAAAATGATCGTCACGATGTGGAAAATACGTGGCCTTCGACTTCGTTACAGGTTTTTTTACACCCTGTATAGGTACTTCTTCGGAAATGTGTGTGTGTGTATCTTTTATTACTTTAGTAAATGAGACTTTGTTTAATATTCATTTATTTACTAGCTGTGCTCCGCGGTTTATAAGGGATACTTTCCCGCATTAAAACGTAGCCTATGTGTTAATCCAGGGTGTCAGCTAACTCTATACCGTATTTAATTAAAATCGCTCCAGCCGTTTAGATGTGAATAAGTAACAAACATACACACTCACAAACTTTCGCCTTTATGATATAAGTGTGAAGAGTGATTTAAACTTTTATGCACAAAAAAGTGTACAAGTGGCAGTGTAGTATACTATATTTAGTGGTTTAACAGTAAAAACCGAGAACATATTTTAAAACATCGAACTGGTTTCCCATACAAAGTTACATACATACATCCCCATATTTCACCTACTACAAGTTTTGATTCCGAAACGAAAAGTAAACTTTGTCCTTCTCCAAAGTAATCTTTATCTCTCCAGCGAAATTCAACAAAATTTGTTCAGCAGTTAAGACGTGAAAGAGCAAAGGAAGTGTAAATATAATTTTTTTTGTCTCTGCTGTCGATATTAATTTTAAAAAGCTTATTCTGTTATTATTGGTCAATTCAATTTCGAATATTGCACACATTATTATGACGCTCCCGCTCCATAAACTCGAGTGCGAGCCGGACAGAATACAATGATATAATTGTGTAAAAATAGGCTGATTATATACATTTTCTTTATGATTTTTGGTAGCTTAGAAGCATGCGGAGTTTTTAATTTTAGAAACTCCTTTTTGTACTTCTAAATTGAAGTTGAATGTTTGAGTAAATTCTACTAAAAATTTAAGTTCCAACTTTCAAGCCTTTTTTGAGTAACTTTAAGTAATTGCAGGAAGCTGAGTTATTTTTTTAAGACTGCAAAATACCTATTACGAAAAGAGATAAGATTTTTTGCAACCTCGCTGGCAGAAATCATTAAAAATACACAAAAAAAAATTATAACTCGAAAACTAAGAAAAATCGCGGAACATACATTCGGATTGTTGACGTCACTAGTTGGACCAACCTGTATATAGCACATAGCGACATCCCTTTCTAACTGTACTACAAGTAAAGATCAACACTTACCTGTCATTCTGTACTACGAGCCTAAGTTCTTATTTACTGCAGATTACATACATTACAATTGACGTCGCTGTTGTGTGTCGTCTAATATACAGCTTTTCTTTTATATTCGAATTCAATAAAGGTGACCTTAAAATGACTATTTTCAAACTATCCATTATTCATAATCATATGTGTCCGTAAAAATAAATGGATTTATGTTCCCACAGAATTACCATAATTTATTTACCCCATCGAGCCTTGAAACCTTACTCACCGACAGAAACAGACATTTTACTGTGCTCTTCTGTAAGGTAAAGGTTACTTCCCCAGACAGGCGCTCCAATTCGAGCGGGAAATCCGCTATGCCCTACCTTCTCTCATAACAAGGTAAATCTTACGTCGCCGAATACCCTTAACAGCATTTTCCAGTCTCCTGTGTTTTTTGTGATGGGAAAACATCCTGTCGTTCGCCTGTGCCCCGGCAGTGGGAAGAGGACATAAGGCAGTAGGGAGGGGACATAAAAAAAAATTAAAATAGGATAATGTTAAGCAAACACTCTGGTTACCTGAAGCGCGCAGCTGGTTGACTCTGCAGGCCAGGTTGGCCCATACACGGCGCGCTGCCACAGCACTAAGCCGTCCCACTGTCTGTACCGTGTGCATCGCCGGGTCATTCGACGACTGAACCACTTCGCCTGCGTCGGACAAACGAGATTATATTGTTATGTTTTTATTTATTTTTTAAGCATTTAACTGCTAGATGTTTAAATCTAAAGAAATGTTTACTAGAAAAAAATATATATTGGTTAGGTATTTTTAATTCTTTTAAGCATTTTACTGCTTCTGTCAAATGTTTAATACTTTTATATTGCTATAAATTTTCATGGTCACTAACATTATACATAGTAATATAACTTATTTACGGGATTGTTACCATGTACCTTACTTTACCAGCAATCAAGAACGACGCAGAAATCAGCCATCGCGTAACATTTTTTGATTGATTCTGGTTCAAACCACTGGATTCAGTTTCATAACCCACAGATTATCTCGACAGAACGACCTTACATACCAAGATTAGTCAGGGAAGCGATTGAAATAACAAATCATAAAAAATTCAATCGTGAGGACCGGTTTAAATTGTAGAGTGTCTGGAATCCTGGGGTTCGCATGTGTGAAACTGGAAATAATCAAAAAAGTGTCGTGTCGATCCGATACTGTAAGTGTAGTGTGTCGAGAACAGTTTCGAGTGAATAGTGAGAATATGAACAATGGTACGGGTATCGAACGCAATAACAGACATCGTCGGAGGGTAGACCGATGCCTGCCAATAACAACCTACCCGCAACTACTTCAGTTACTCCGTGATTATGGCGCTTGCAACAGTGCCGAAATATCGGAAACTCGTTAAAAACAAGGTACATGGTAACAATCCCGTAAATAACTTAATGTTTAATATAATGTGTATTTTATTTCCGTGCTAACTCATTATGCACCTTCTACAATTTCATCAAGTGCTTATATATATTTGTTAGGATCATATTGTGTAAACAATAAATCGTGAGTACTGTGAACTTTGTTGCACTCATTTTACAATACCCGAGAAACTCGCGCATCATCCTATACTTGTAAAGGTATTCGTTTGATATTGTGGGTTTCATACAATGCGAAGAGATAGCGCTGCCTTGTGATCAAGATACGAGATTTCCCGCCGTAGATATACGAACCAATGGCGTAGCTTCCAGACATTCACGAGTGCTTGTAACTGCCTAAACTGAATAAATGATTATAATTAATTTATTTGGTCACTCACCAGTGGGCTCAGGCTGGGGTCCCACGGGCGGCAGGTAGGTGTCGAGCAGCTGCATGGCGTATGTGGCGCCCGAGTCCAACCCTTGCACCGCCTTCTGTCCGTACGCTGTCGATAGCAGCGCGTTAGCTTTGGCCCATGACAACTCTTTGAGCGAATGCACGCGTTGCCCGGCCACGGAGCGGGCTGCACACACCTAAGACAACAATTTAGAGGATTTAATAAAAGAGGATTAAGCTTGAACTAATTATAAAATAAATAAATAAAATAAATATTTCCAACACACCAATTAGCCTAGCCCCAAAGTAAGCATTGTAAGGCTTGTATTATGGGATACTAGGGTAACGGATAGAATAGATATACTGTACATATATAAGTATATTTTTTATAGAAATACATATTGAACATCCATGACTGGAGTATAGCTCGTATTCATCATTCAAACATCTGCCCCCACCGGGATTCGAACCCGGGACCTCTCGAGTCGTCGACACCATAAAACCCGGCGTACAAACCACTCGGTCACGGGGGTCGTCACCGTCGTTGCCGTGTTTTGTTCGTATCACTAGAATGCCTATTGTCAATCAATGAACAGAGACCAAACAGAGTAACTTATCTAAGCTTAAGGGTCGTTTATTAATAAGGGAGTTAAAGATGATGTGCTGGTAATGCTCACATTATTAAATCTATTCAGATACTTAATCAAGCTGCCATACTCTTTCTTTCATGTTCTGACTCCTTCCTTCCGTTATTAAAATGGCTCTCAAGGGATTATCATTATTGTCGATAGTAAACAATTGTAGTTGACCTTGATATGTTACAAAAGTTTCCTTTCTTGATTTAAATAGAGCATAAGCAAATATTACTTTAATTGCATAATTAACATAACGGTGTCCCAACCTTTGACGTAGTTGTTTTTAATGTGTAACATTTCTCCTCTCGCTTTCCTGCAATTTGGGGGAGTGATTTCGTGAAATGGGACGGAAGTGTGTAACAGGAAGTCGCGAAAGCGCGCGCTATTTGATTTGATATTAGAGCATAATGTTAAAATGGCTTATTCCTTTTATAATAGGTTTTATTTCTTTTTTTACTAATATAAGGTGAGGTTTCAAATGTTACACATCATACGAGACTACTGTAAGGCTCGCTCGTTTTTTTCATTATGCGAAAACATCCTGTCGTTCATCTGTGCTCCGGCAGGTGGGAGATGACATAAGGCTGTGGGAAGAGGACATAAAAAAGACTGAAGACGACCTTCGTGGCCGAGTGGTTTGTACGTCGAGTTTCAAGGTGTCACCTATTCGAGAGGTCCCGGGTTCGAATCCCGGTGGGGGCATATGTTAGTGTGATGAATACGAGCATTTGTACTCCAGTCATGAATGTTTAATATGTTTTTTTTAAGATTTTAATGTCTCACCATCTAATCTAAAAAACACTATTTGTATTTACAGTGTATGACACAAAGTCAAAATGCAGGTGAACAATTAATTTATATTTCACATTATGTAATGAAAGGTGACTTCATGAAACATCTCTGAAGAATTTTATCAACTTGATGACTCTGTAAATAATAAAACAGGGAGAAAATCAGCCCTTGCGGAGTTTCTTGCCGGTTCTTCTCGGTACAAGTTCACTCGCCGTAGATTTACGAATCGATGGCATAGCTTCTAGACCAGAGTTCCCCAAACTTTTTTGTGGCGTAGACCCCTTGCCATGTTTTTCCGTGTTGGGTAGACCCCCTACTTACCTGATATTGATTTTTTTTCGCTGACGTAGACCCCTAGGGGTCACTTTGGGAATCGTTCTAGACATTCATGAGTGCTTGTAACTGCCTAAACTGATATAATAATTATGATTATAGCCCAGAGTATGCAATTACAACGAGCGATCATTCTCGTGGAGGCAGATCGGAGCAAAAATGCACGTCCGAACATTCAACAGTCCGGCCAAGCGAGCATCGCTGAACGATAACATATTATCTTTGGTATCTGAAGTAACTAGTGGAGCGAGTTCTCGCCGGCAGTGTGAACAGCCAGCGATTAACTATTAATATATTGCATCTCACTTGTTTACAAAGAACGTAAATCTAATATATAAAATTCTCGTGTCACGGTGTGCGTAATTGAACTACTCCGAAACGGCTCGACCGATTTCCGTGAAATTTTATATGCATATTCAGTAGGTCTGAGAATCGGACAACATCTATTTTTCATCCCCCTAAATGTTAGGGTGGTCCACCCTTTTTTTGGACAAAATTTTTGTTTTTATTATTTTATGATACATCATACAATAATACATACAACCATAAATTTTCAACCTTCTTCCACCAACCCCTATTTTTTATGGCGGTACGAAGTTCGCTGGGACATCTAGTATATTTTACGTTCTTTGAGCGAGAAAAAAGTCGTTAGTTAGTCTATTTCCCGCTGGCGATGAGGGACAACTGCGTAAGGCATTTATTTTCTGCATGAGAAAAGTTATCAGTTTCAAAGAACTAATTTCTGGGACTTCTGGGACCATTGGAAATAAATAATAAAATATTATAAATAAATTCATTTACCATGAAGAATGTACCTACGTACTTAAATAACAAGCGCGATACATTATCTTTACAGACGAATTTAAATCCCCAATCTGTCATAACATCCGCCATTCACTTTGTTATCAAGTGCAAAGGATAAATGTCCCAACCATACAATCTTATCTAACAGACTTTTATCAACAATATGAAAATAATAAGAACATGAGTTATGAACTACAAACTGAATTATATTTTTATAGGACCAAATGGCAACTAAATATTTTATATCGAACAAGTAAATGGATCAGAAATTTCGGTAATCAGTGTACATTATTGTACATTCATTACCTAAAAAACATACCAACCGAATTGAAAACCTCCTCCATTCTAGGGTTCACAAAGAACCCTAGAATGGAGGTCAAGGTCACAAGGTCCCCAGTTTTGCTTGGAGACTATTAGTACTAGAGAGTTGCTATTTTGTGGAGATATTTTATTCTATTATTTTATCAAAAAAAAAATCAAAATACTAGTAGTACACGCACGCACGCACGCACAGCGTGGCACGACACGCACTTGGCCGGTTTTTTGTTTTTAAGTTAGTTTAAAAACTATATTTGCATAGTATTGAATCAACATTAAAATAAAACACAGTAAAGTTATTAGAAATTCTTAAAACTGAAATAAAGATTATTTTCATCTGAAGTTGTTTACATGGCAACTTTCCAGATGCACACATTGACAAAACAGCAAGATTTTTAGTCAAACCAGAATTAAATTTAATAATTTATGTCTCTTTTTAAATGAATGACCTATAAGAGAGTAGCTTAGAGGAGATTTGAAATAGGCCTCATTCAAAAAACAAAAACCATAAAAAAATATAAGAAACACCAAAGCCGCATATTGAGTATTTTTCATGCAGTTATTATTACTATATACATACAAACATTGTTCATATTCAGAGGGTGTTGATGATTGTAAGTATTGATGAATAGGATATGAATATGAGGAGCTCGAAGGCGCAGGTGGTTAGCGCGTTCGGCTGCGACCGTTGAAGTTGAGCAACTTTCGCAGTGGTCGGTCATTGGATGGGTGACCAAAAATCTTCTACCTCGAGTTCCTCCGTGCTTCGGAGGGCACGTTCAGCCGTTGGTCCCGGCTGCATCTGTAGTCGTTAGCACCCGTCAATCCGCACTGGGCCAGTGTGGTGCGTCATGGCCCCAATCTCCCAATTCCATCCATAGGAAAGGCATGTGCCCCAGCAGTGGGGACATTAATAGGCTGATGATGATGATGATGAATAAACTGTGGTCATGTGAAATATTATGAACCTGGTTGTAAATTACTCAGCCGATTGGGATAATTAGGATAGGATACTCAAATTCATAATTATTATCCTCAAACTTTCTTTAAGCTACTTTCATAGTACCTACCATTAGTAGCCAGACCATGCTAACAATATAATTAAACAAACAAAAGTATGTATATAGTCAGCAATAGGTCAAGTTACACAATTGTCAAAAATTTCCAACTGTCTTTAAACTTTATCATGCTTGATTTAAGATTCACAATTGAAATGAGAAAATTTGAAACTGAAGTATACTTATGTGTTGTTTGCAGACTTTCACTTTTCATCATTATTATTAATATTCCAGTATTCGTGTTAACTGCTGTCTCAGGAGGTAATATATTGTTAAATATTGGATTACATTTTTGTAGCATGTCATGCATAATAAAAAGTAACAAAACAACCATGATATTGAAAGATGAAAGACAATACATGCACCAGTAATAATAATTCTTCCTGTGATGTTGTAACACTGCACTTCAGAACTGGAGATAATAACATCCTGTTATTTTTAAAATACCAGTTTCATTCTCAATGTAATGATATGACGCCACATATATTTACTGCTGACCTTTGAAACTCCTTTGATAAAGATAATCATACATTTTTATACTATGGTAATCAAAATACCCATAGTGACACAAGTGTTTTCTATACAGATAGTGTTGTCAATTTTGTATAAGGTTATTTTACTAATACATTATTGAGATGGGCTGATGATCAGGGACATTTTGTCAAGAGTTTGTAGTTCTAAAAAGCATATAATTATGCTAATTGTGTATGTCCCCTATTCTTAAGTATTTAACATATATATTTAATCATAATTAGGTGTAAACGCTGACTGGCTTTTCAATGTGCTTTCCTACAATGGGCCTGCTGGAAGAAATTTCAGGTTGAAATAAGCTGTGCCCTTGTACTATTGTCTTATTTTGTAATCTCTTTCTATTTATATTTGTGTGTAAATAAATAAATAAAAAATAATTTAGCTACCCATCTACATATTATGATAATGATATTACAATAATTTGAAAGTGAATGCTAATACAGACTAAAAAACTTACCTTGTTAACATGTGGAGAGATTCTAGAGAGGACTGCTTGTTTGGTAGTCTCAACAATGACCTTGGGCTGTTCAGTCACTAGGGGCACTCTGCGTTCCAGTTCATCAATCGCAGCTGCTATTTTAGCATCACCAACAGCTAGGGGAGCTGCCACATAGGGTGCTGCTGTGGTTGCTGCCAGCGTTACGCTTGCTTCAGCAGTAGACAAAGCCCATTCCAATAGCGAATGTGCACCTAATGAATGAAACAACACTTTAGAAATGTATGCAAATGTACTAGAAAGATATCGCAATAGTTCAAGTATTTACTATATAAGTTTTGTTGGGATTTCAAAATTCATGGTATGGTTTCATTAGGCATAGACACTGATACTGTTTATCACTTTGTTATTTTTTTTCAATTTATTATAAGTTTCCCAAATTGTTGCATTTTACTTAATGTAATTTCTATTCTCTATTCCAGACTTTTCTTTTAAATATAGTTACCTTATATGAAAGCACTTGTGTCAATGTTAATTAACTTCAAGTTTTGTATCTAGAAAGCCAAAAGGGTGGCTATGCACAACATATAAAATCCATACATTTTAAAGAAAGGAAGAAATCTAATAACATTTTTAATAAGACCTTTGTATGAAGCTGATACACTTATTTGTATGTTCACACAATGACTTCAATAAGTACTAAACGGATCTTAGTGCAGGTTTCAAAACTAGTCTACACCATTGAGAGGATGGGTCAATAGTATTTAGTAGAAACAAACATTAGGTAACTGAAAAAACTTTAACCATTACCTTTAACTTTGTAGTAAAATGCTCCAACTTGCCCCACGGCTGCTCCAACTGTGGGTAAAGCCATGGCTTTTTGCACAGACTGCAACTGTGGTATCATATTTGGTGCACTCACTTCAGCTGCCATCTGTACAGCAATGAATTTATGCATAATTATATATTTTAAACAAGATTTTTATATACCACTACTACCCTCTGGTCAAATAAATTAGAAAAAGAATGTTAATGCCAATTTCAAAGGTACCTATCATGTATGCATTATAATTAGTATGTTCAGAAAAATATGATGAAATAAACGAATTAAGGAAGTAAGAAACGAAAGTTCACAAGACATTATAAATTCATAGAGACAAGTGGGTAAAATCAAAAATTAATTGGATTTAAATTTAGTTATACGAAATTCTTTAGGTAGGAACAAAGGTTTACATTACGACCAATTTCGCACTAAGGCCTAAGGCAAGGCAGATTCAATAAACCACTTTAATCAAAAATGGTGCCATCCATATTGGAAAATGTTCTAAACTTTAGAAAAACGACTGAAAAATTACCTTTTACAAACAAATACTATTAACTTGACGCGGCAAACAATTAAACTCCTTCAAAAAAGTCACGTAGGCACTCGAAACAACTTTCACACAGAAATAAATGTTAAATAGTCCTTGGAAAAAAGCAAAGAAACACAACTCGTTACCCGCGATGACAATGAATGACTGACTGGACTGAAACCGACTGAATGATTGGTTAGGAGTGACTTGGCTAGGGGACATCGAATGATTTTGCAATACCAACCATTCAATATTTATATCATTCATAAATCAGGCTGATTAAAAAAATGTTGCCAGCTTATAACACTTGTTTTTCATTTTTGCATCATGCTCTATTTTGTTTGTAAAAGATTTTTGTAATTAGGGGTTGGGACTATTTATGGTAATAATACAAGCATTTGAGTAATGATATTTAATTATTATTTTATATTACTTGAGTAATGAGTGTAAAATCAAAATTACAAAAAAAAGGTCTAAAGTAGCGTTAAAACATCTAATATTATTGTTTTTATTCGATGTTTTAGTTACGAATTTCTTACAAAATTTACAAAAAAAATAAGAAGAACAATTTTATTTTTACTATTTTTATGTTAATATAACATACGTACATTTCAATATCTTGGCATTTTTAAATTTAAAAAAAAATTAGCATGATTGATGATAATGGGAGTAGAATTCATTTATTTCTTAATGTTTACTTACAGATTAACTTTGCTGTTTGACTACCAAAGTTGTCAAATTCCTAAAACGACCTTCCCACTTGAAATATGATCTATAAATATAACCTTGACGTGACAACTGAGCTGCACTGCACTATTTGACAGTAACTTAGTGTTGCCAGTACCAGCAAAACCATTAGTTCCTCAAACATTCTTTTCATGACTTTATTGACAGACTGTAAATGAATTATGTTTTGGACCTGTGAGTCATTTCTTTTCTTGACTATCTCCGTGGCCATGTGGTTTGTACACCGGGTTTCAGGGTCTCACCTACTCGAGAGGTCCCGGGTTCGAATACCTGTGGCGGCAGATGTTTAATGATGATTAGTCTTTGTCAGGTCGTTTGTGTGATGAATACGAGCATTTGTACTCCAGTCAGGGATATTTAATATGTATTACTATATAAATATACTTACATATGTATAGTATACGTATTCTATCCGTTACCTTATTAACCCATAACACACGCCTTACAGTGCTTACTTTGGGACTAGGCTAATTGGTGTGAGTGTTGGAAATATTTATTTATTTATTTTCCCATTTCAATTTTCAGTGAATGCATTTATTTGTGTGATAAAGATTAGGATATTATATCGTCGGGTTGTCAAAAATATAATTAGATATGGTTCAGATTCAGTCAATGTTGTTTAAATACGTCCACTATTTATTAATTTAAACGTAAGTTAAATTTCCAATCCAACTTACAAGCTTTGATTAAGTTGCGAGTTTGCCGGATTTTATATTATTTTATTATTCAACATTTTTATTTCTAAGACAGCTCTCTATAATCATACAATTTTAAAACTAATGGAAAGAACTCTTGTGCAACTTAAATCTACCTATTTTAGTGTAAAGTCGAAAAATTGGCAACCCAATTAGCGCGAATGAATGTGAACCTATTTCTTACTGCGTACTAGCGTACCGCCACTACAGCACGTACTCGTTTCCTCCTTCTCATCATGTACCAATGTGCTCAAACTTATACATTTTGACGTGACAACGTCTTAAATTAGGTTGCGGCTGGGAGTCACTTATGAAAAAGTGTAACGCTCGGTAACGTTACGATGAGTCTCTCGTGTTAAGTTTAAGTTTACATGTACAATGTTTTAGTAAACAAAATATATTTCTATAGTTAAAATTTGTGCAATTCTTATTTTCATTCAATTCCTTGTTCCTATTGTGCAATTTAATTATATTCATATCAATAAATATTCTACCGAGAAAAAGACGTTGTCACGTAAAATCTTCGCCCGTAAAACCGACTTTACAGGCAACCATTTTTTTTATTTAACATTGTTTGATAAATACGTATGCATTTGTTAGAAATCTTCGTAATTGAAAATGCGAATACCAATCATGGTATTCTATTATGCCCAATCCGGTCATACTTATCAAAGTCGATCTCGCAAACAAAAGTTCCGTACAGTTACAATGATTTAACATGAGAATTGTATCGCATATTTTGTTCGAAATACTGCAGCTTAAAGGTATATCCAATATCGTGAGATCGAAAACCGGAGTAGCCATAGATAAATGATTGGTCTCGCTTCACTCGACTAGATACCGCCGGCGTACTTGTCTAATGCGGCAACAAATACTATGCCGAAATCGGCATTCACTGACCCAGCCAATTATTGAACCTATGTTATTTAAACTTACTATTAAACTTGCAATTTAACTTAATCTTGTTTTACATATATATATATATATAAAATTAAAAAAATACTATTATATATTATTAAAAATTATTTAAAGATGACAAATAAACATTTCATTTTATGTCAATCATTCATCTATGGGAGTAGCTACAATAAATCATGTTTTTTTAGAGCCCACCAAAAACTTAATTAATTTTTATGGTACTACCGGGTCATAAAGTTTGCTATGTTCGTCCGCTGGACTTTGCACTCTCGTTTGTTATGTATGAATGACTAACAAATATGAGGAATAATTACAATAGGTAGGGTACATCCTGATCAAAGACGATTCTTGGACTTTGAACCGGACCGCGGAACATTCTCTAAGTAGTTACCGGTTGGTTGATGCCTGTGATTAGACGCAGGCATAGATTTTTGAAAATGACTGTATTTTAAGTAACTTACTGACCTTATACCGATTCAAAATAAACTGATGACTGGCAAAGAGCTCATTTGACAAGTACCTACCTATTTAGTCTGCCAAATTATTTTATGAATAAAAATAAACTTTAATTTAACAGTCTTAAAGATATAATACTTCCTACATGGATCTTCTTGCGAGGATGAATTTTCGGTAATTAACTAATAAGTTTATTACCCACGTCTTTCACAATGAAACAATACTGCAGTCAGTCATCAGGAACATGATATAAGATATTATTTTTGTTACTTTCTTTGTGATACTTAACCTAGCAATAAAATAAGATCATTGGATGGAATCATTCTTGTTATAGAATCTTGTTATATTAATTGAATCCTCCGAATGCGGCCGTTTGTAATTTCTCGTAGCAAATTTCGAAATCCCAAAGAGCATAATATACGTAGTTATTTGTGTTATATTAAGTCACACGAATTGCGGTTGCAACAAATTTTGTTGGTGGCCAAATGCCAGCATGATGACCCGTGTGACCAGATTTAAATTATGGATCCTGCTAAGTTATGTACAGAAAGAAAACTTCTATTATAAAGCTGCATTGGGTCATCAATATTATTAACAAATCGATAATTAAATTATATTGATATGCCAAATCGGCTGCCTGTACATTTTTTTAACACACATGTAACCTGTGTACATCACAAATGAAGTAGGTATTTGATTTATAATTAAGGATAAAAATTTAAAATCATCATAAAACAACCTTTGAAGATAACATTGATTAAACTTTCTTTCCTCTCCGATAGGTTCTTTTCCTTGTGGTTTGTAATAACATTACATATATAAAAAATAATAAATTAGTTCTTGATAATAACATAACATTTATCACGTCACGTACCTATACGCGAGATCTAAATACAGCTCTATGGAATGCGTTAGTGTTCGAATACACAGATCGAGTTACATACACTGCAAGAATGCAAGGGAGGTGCTTTCACCCATCAACTTTATACCCTGACTGTACTCAGTCGGATGGAGCACGTTCTGTAGGGTATAACTACTAACAATTCCAACGGCTGTACTCAGAGAAGTCTTATCAATTTTAAAAGAAGACAACACAACTAAATAAAGCATGTCATGGATTTAACGTGTCTGGTTCTGAGTTCGACTGTTAGAAAATAATTAAGTACTTTTCAATAGTTGGTCGGTTGGTTAGACTACAGAGGGCATAATAATGAGGGAATAGTACCTACTTATTAGAAGATGTCTTATTTGTACATTTGTAATGTAATGAATTTAGAAAATAAATATTAATATTAAAAAATATTCAACATTTTATTAAATATTTATGATTGTAAACTAATTATTTGGTATGTTTTAAATAGGAGCAAAATAATGCTAAAATAGCAGGATCTTCCTAAATCTGGTCACACTGGCGATGGCCAAGGGCGAACATCGATCGTTTGTTTTGTGGAACGAGGCCAACACACCCAACCCAACAAATATTGGATAGACGGCCGGCGTCGATTGGCTAGTATTATTCAGTCAGTCTTCAGTGAAACGTTTTGACGTGATTTTGACAAATTGTGGCCAATGTTTTGACGGAAGTACTTCTAGTCCTCAGTCGACTACAACTCATATGACGATTTTGATTTTTGACGCACAAGAAAGAAGAACCGCTGTTATGTCGTGGAATAACGATGTCGTATTGGAATTTGTGGAACTTTATCGCAGAGAGCAACTATTGTGGGATCCCAAACACCCGCTGCACAGGAACAGAAGTGAAATCGCTGACGCCTGGTTGAGAATACAAAATTCACTAAGCATTCACTGCTCAGTTTTAGAACTAAAAAGGAAAAAAGAATCTTTAATGACGTCATTTAGGATGCATTGTGCAAAAAAGAAAAAACATGATACGTACAGACCTACATGGTTTGCTTACACTTTAATGGAAAGTTTTCTTGGCGGGAAATACGAATGTGATAGTACAGTCAACCCATTGGACAATGAGGTATGGACTATGGCACATCTCAAACCATCAAAATATTAAATTCTTTTACATGAGAATGCACAGGAACGTTATTTAATTTTTGATTCTTAAGTATTCTATTTATAAATCTGATCAGTCAAGAAAAATTTACTGTTGTAGAAACGTATTTTGAAGCCTCACTACAATCTATCTGATTAATATTTATAATTTAGATTTATAGTTTGGTGAATGGAATGAATATTGGTGTTGTAAAACTACTTATTTGTCATTGGCTGAAGTGTTGGTAGAGATTGGGTCAAATCTTAGGTCAAATATGCCAAGGGGCCAAATCATTGGTGGTTAATTATTTTTAAACAACTTAAAAATAGATATTATCAATTAGACTTGAAAATATCATTATATTGTTTTAAACTTTCATGGTCATTAACATTATAGATATTAACGGGATT